GATGTGAATTATTTCCATCATAATCCCAAGAATTCAAGTAAAAAACATATATCTTCATGTTGTCTGCGCTTGAAATGAATCATGGGATATGTAGTTTCCGATGTTCCATAAGCTGTTACTACCATAAAACCATGCATTTAAGCAAAGGAACGTGTAATTTGATATATTGTGACAGTCCACAATGTTATTGTGAGACTTTTGACGATACGGTATCACGATATTTCAGTTATTGTTACATCCCCACTTGTCAGTCAGTAGATATGTGCACGGTACTGCTCTAAAGTAATTGCAAAACTCATTATAATCATTTAAATGTCTTACAGATTTTCCCTCATCCAAAATATATATACAGAATTGTGTTGTGTTTCTATCAAAATCCTGCAAATTTAGCCTGTCTCCCTCTGTAGGACCTAGAACAGTGGCAATAAGTCAATTAGTAAGCATCTGTTATGATCAATTTCTGCGCTAAACTTGCATTAACTCATTAAGATAATTTACTGCATTAACAGTATAGAACAGAAGGCCATACATTTTGTTTTATTTTAGTGGAAAACAGTGAGGGGGGAGGAAGGTGGTCTAGAGCTATGAGGAACAATGTGTTTGGTCTAACAGGTATCCACACTTCAAATTCTGCCCCTTGTAATCAGTTTTCTAATCACACCTGGCTGTAATCCAGACAGTCCTGTGTGATGTTACGTAGTACTTGGAACTGCAGTAGTCACTGGAATCAGGACACATTTATTGACACAAAGCTGCAAATTTATAGCCTGACTCAGCATTAAGATCCGTTCGCTCGACGGTAGGCGGGTACTTGTTTTATTTAACCAATCGCTGCCATTTGGTTGTGATGTATGTAATGAGCCAAACCCCGTAAGAAAAAGGGCAATAATCTTTCCCCTTGATAAAATTCACCAAACATTCTCTTTGTTCCGACTTTAAATCCTTGATCTCAGGAACTGTCAACACAGAATGTATGGGGTCTCGGGGTCGCAAACCGTCTAGTGTATTCCGATTCTTGACCTAGTCGCCGGAGAGAAATGAAATTGAGCGGAGGCACTAGGTGGCGCCAGCCTGGCTAGCAAATTTACCTGTTTGCACTAAAATTGCCAAAAAAGACTAAATTGTAAATATGTAAATGTGTTAGTGATGGTGAAGAGAAGACGGATAGACTGAGATGGTTAATGGATAGTGGAAATGGAGGAGGTTGAGGTCAGAGGATGCACTTTATAGAGAGAAGCAGGGGAGAGAAAGTGCATTTATGAATGACTTGAGATGCAGTTGGTTGAGAGACAAAGACCGACAGTGACAGACAGGAAATAAAGTTAGCAAATTTACAAATCTGTGAGTAAAAATGATACATATTAAGAGTTTTTTAGCTCTTAATCTGATTTGTCAAGCGATCACAAAGTCAGTTGGATGTGCCCTAGTGGTCCAGTGGTGCTAAATCTGCTTTGACCTGGTCTCCAGTATCAGGAGCGGTTCAGGAGAGGTTCATACTGGTTGCAGAGGAGCACATGAATAATAAAAGTGCTGTCTTGTACTGGGCTACAGTGTGCTGCTGCTGAATTATGGACCTGTTAAACTTCCATCTACAGTCACAACAGAGACGGGCAGGGGCGGGTCAGCTGGTCTCCACAATTCTGTAAACATGAAAGTTAGTTAGTCTTTTCAAAGGATCTGTTTCATTTCAATCAAGTAGTGGGCCTTTAATCCATTTGTCAGATCACAGACTTCACAGCACAGGAGCACAACACATTATTAAACATGGCGTGCTAATAATGACTGAGCTAAAGTCATTTGTAATTAGAGATAACTCAACTGGCAACTGCTACTGGAAGAAATACGGCCACATCTGGTTAAGTTCTGCTATGAGACAGACCTGATATGAACCTGCCCTTGTCCTTGTTGTCATGAAAGCTGCCTGAAGAGTAACTTCTATCAACAAGCATCAGATAGCACAGTCTCCAGGTGGCTCGAAAGTCTGACCAGACAACACATCTTACCTATTAGCAGTGTTTGGATTCTGTATTTTGTTACAGAATACTGCCTACCTGCATTAAAATGTGAAGTGCTCCACGGTATGGGCCAATCAGAGTAACTACTGTATTGTGAATACTTTATGTCACATTATATATTATAATGTCAAACTGCTACTTTTAACAGCTTTTGTTGCATAAGTTGCTTTGTATTTATTTATCACTGATTATTCATCACCCGTTTAGGTTGTGCACCAAGTTATATTTCAGAACTTTTAACCCCGTACGAGCCTCCCGCAGCCTTACATCCTCAGGCAGGTCCTTGTTCGCTGTTCCAAAGTCCAGGCTCCGGACAAAGGGTGATCAAGTCTTTTCAGTCCAGGCGCATCGGCTTTGGAACGACCTACCTGAGGAGATAAGTCTTGCACCATCAGTATCATCTTTTAAATCACTTCTTTAAGACTCATTTTTATCGGTTGGCCTTCCTTTAACTGGTTTTAGTTTGTTTTTATTCCTTATTTATTTTTATTCTATTTCTTTTTTATAATTTATTGGATTGTTTGCATCATTGTGTTTTTGTATGCTTCCTGTGTGTTATTTTTATGCTTTTTGTATGGTTTTTTGTATTGCTCTTTGCTGCTTGTACAGCACTTTGTAAACCTTGTTTTTAAAAGTGCTTTATAAATAAAGCTTTATTATTATTATTAGAGAAGGAAAAATCTCAAATGCACTCACCATAAGGGCAGTGTTTTCCATTTTTCTCACCAAGCGCTGTGCAGTTTGAAGTCTAACGTGGATGATCAAAGACCACCATGTATTCCTCAGATTTTAGGAGTAAGAGTAACTGTACCAGAATACAGCCAGGCAGCCAAAATGATTTTTTCAGTACATGCATTTAACTACTTCCCAACGCTGTCCATTTAACAAGTGATTTACCCAGGCCTAATGGAAAAAAACACTTATGGTGCCTCTTTGCTCCACTCTGTGCTCACGGACTGTGACAAAGAGTAATTTTAGCTATTTCAGTGTGTGCAGACTAGCCCGCACACAAACTCACAGTGCGCAGGCAGACAGTGTGTGCATGACATCACTGTGAATGTGGAGGATGGGGAGGGTGGGTAGCTGTTTGGTATTCCAGTCAGGAGCCCATCGGAGGAGCACCGCAGCATCAACAGCCCCATCATTATAGTGCGGTGTGCAAATGAAAGGGGTCAGATAAGAGCAGAGAGAATGGTGTTGACACATGCTGCTTAATAAACCATCAGAAACATCTCATCTGTCTTATTCGCATTAAACTCAACGCTGTTCTAAACCGCTTTGTTATGGGCACAAGTAGAACAAAGCGTGAGGTCTTCATTCTGATCAGATATACAGTGGATACAACGTTATAATGGCTGTGCATGGAGATCTCACAGATATGATTTCAATGCAGTTTTACAATTTTAGATGTAATTGCTCTGCCTGGAATGTTCCTTTGTATGGCATTAAAATTATCTAGCGCCCTTGAGATAAGCAGGTGACGCCTACAGGTCAAATTACAGGTCAAATCTGTGGAAAGGCTCGTCGCTCAAGAAGGCATCTTTTTTATGCATTTTTGGAGCAATAAAACACCTGTAATGTAGATAAGTTTAAAGTCATACTGTAACATTCTAGACAAAGTAATAAGATCCCCATAGAGGAATCAGATGGTGCATATTCCACCACATAATTTAATAATGGACTCATTTAATTTGTGCAATATGAAGAAAGGTTTTTAACAGGAGCTAACAGGCGAGCACACATTACAACAGTTTTATTTTCACTGCACTGGCTTCCTGTTAAATTCCGTGTTGATTCTAAAATCTTGGTTTTAACTTACAGAGCTTTAAATGGACAGGCGCCCCAGTACATCAGTGACTTACTGCGCCCCTACCCCTCAGGCTGCACCCTCCGGTCCTTTGGCCATGGCCTCTTGATGGTCCCAAAGACCTGATTTAAAACTCAAAGCTTCCTCTTCTGTGTAGCTGTTGTCAGACACTCAGCTTCAGTACCAGTTAGAATTATTCCGGCCTTTCTGAATCCTGCCCGGATGGTTTCGGTTGTCATTAAAGTCCAGGCTTTGTCGATTCATCCAGTGACTTCCAGGAAAGTTGTATGGTGCACCTACCCGGTTGCCGTGAAGGTGTGTTCTCTATCCCCACTTTCCCCCACAAGTTTCTCGCTCATTCCAAACTTTCTTTCTGCTGCTCGATTACTGTTTTCGGCTGCATATTTCACTATTTGCAGCAGAACCAAGGCTTATTCTACAGGATGCATGCGCAGTAGAGTGTGAAGTGACAGTGGTACAGGAGTAATAGATACTGACACACAAGCCTAGAGCGCCCTCTCGCAGCTGTCAGTCTGAAAATTTGAATATATAAGTCGCACCAGAGTATAAGTCACAGGACCACCACCAAACCATGAAAAAAGTGCAACTTATAGTCCGAAAAATACGGTATATGTTGTGTATTGCACTCTGTAAAGCACTTTGATTTTTTATCTGTGAAAGGTGCTATATAAATAAAGGCTTACTTAATGCTTCAATGGGGTGACATTAAGCCTACAGCCAAACTCAATATGTGGAGATGGGTGTTGCACTGGTTGTCGCAATCGCAGCAGCATTGAAGAGGATGGATTTTGCTATGGAGACAATAAAGTTCAACAAATCAAGGGAGTGTTAACCGACGTCAAATATTCATCTTAAAAACCACTGATTATGTCAAAATCTTGTCATGTCTCATTCTCATCGGACCACAGACTGGATCTCGATGGCCTCCCTGATCCAACAGTGGTACTTGTTGATCTCTGTGAGCATTGTCCCAATCCATGTGACGGTTTTCCCTCTTGCAGTGGTCTGAGATTGCAGACTTTAGCTGGTCTTGGTGGGTTCGGGCGCATATTTTGGTTGTTTCTTTTTAACATTCGTTGAACATCTGAATACGTATGAAGTATGAAATAAACAGAGATCTCGCCATAACCTCCTGTTTCTTCCGTGGTGTGTTTTAGGATGCCTGGAGTGCTGTCTGAAATGCCTGGGCGGTATCCCGTACCCGTCCCTGATAGCCACCATCCTGCTGTACGCCGGAGTGGCCCTGTTCTGTGGCTGCGGACACGAGGCTCTCACTGGCACTGTCACCATCCTGCAGAACTACTTCGAGGTGGTGAGGAGCCCTGTGGAGGCACTGGACGTCTTCACCATGTAAGTCCAACATCTCAAGGTGCAACCAGGTAAAAGAGGCAAAGAGAAATGTTTGGTGGTTGAGAGTCTGCCAGGTAGAAGTGTCATGTCAGCGGAAGAGAGTGACGGAGTGGTTTGGAAAACAATTTCTCAAAATCCTTGACACTGGTGGGAGGAGATGGAGAGGCTGTGGACTGGTTGGGCTGCAGCGGTAGAAATGGGCGTAAAAAAAAATTGTTATTTATACACTAGAAATGTAACATATCCAATGTACTGTACTGTACTGTGATATCTAAATCTCTCGATACGGTATTTTCACGGTATACATCCCACATTACGATATTTATTGCGATATTTTGTAGACGCCAACAAAATTGTGAAAATGCAAGACTTTTGTTCTGTCATAAACCAAAGAATTAAGATTTAAACATGCTAAAAAATTATGATTCTGATTATTGTTTGTATTACTTTTCATGTAGTCTGCATTGTAACAGAGCAAAGGATCATGGTATATGTACTTCATTCAGTTTTTTTTTTTTAGCTATTACTGCACCAAAACAATGAATTTATGCAAAGAGACTTGTAATTTGATACATATTGTGATGGTCTTTTGATGATGCAATATTTCAGTTATTGTTACACCCCTGTTATACACTGATATAAATCAGTGTGACATATCAACATCGTCATAAAAAATAATAAAATGTCATAGTGTATTGCACTAGACTTGCCTATTTTGAAACTGGTTTCAAAGATATTCTTCGCTACTTGGGGTTTTTATTTTCAAAGTGCAAGTTGTTAAATCAGCTAACATTGTTTAATTTTGATAACAGACATCGCTCTGAATCAAGATTTTTGTATTAAGATTCATGACAAAACCAGTTATTTACACCCCGACATGATTATTTGTAGCGTAGGCTTTATATAGTAAATGGTTTCCTTATGCTCCCACAGGATCGACATAATTAAGTACGTGATCTATGGCATTGCTTCTGCGTTCTTCGTCTATGGCATCCTGCTGATGGTGGAGGGCTTCTTCACTAGTGGGGCCATCAAAGACCTGTACGGAGACTTCAAGATCACCACCTGCGGACGATGTGTCAGTGCCTGGGTGAGTATTTGCTCCACATCTTCTGTATAAGAATCCATTAGCTGGTGTTTATGTAAGGACAAAACATTCTTAAGTCCGAAGTTTAAAAAATGTTGGAGGGCAAGAAATCGATGGGAGATTTTGCTTAGACTCAAAGCCCTTAAGTTTTGACTTAGTTAGCCGGGTTACATGAAACAGCAGAAAGTGTTACGTCTCATCTCAGAACAAATCAAAAGTAAGGGAGTTATGAATATAATTTATATCTGGATATTTTTGGTCATATTTCTGTAGTTACTAGATCTATCCACAAATGAAGAAGAAAACAGTGCCATTTTTGAACCCCAAAGATGTGATCGTTGTCAAGTGAAATGACATTAGGCCAACAAAATATTTGGCTTTCTGACACCACCAGATCTAAAGCAAAACTAAAACAGGATCATATCAGGTCAAAATTAGGACTAAAACTGGTATAAATTATAACATCTGAATAAATTATGCTCTATATCAGTGTTTCCCAAAGACTGGGTTGCAACCCTCAGGTGGCTCGCAAGAGATTTTTTTTTGGCTCGCCTTGTCACGAACTGCATGTCAGTCTGCAATATACAGGGCTACATTTAATGTCCAAATAGGTGACTTATGGATCCTTTTATTGCTGCTTCAATGACAGCTGTTCATTGTTTAAAACTTAAGTAATACTGATTGTTCAGAGAGACATGATCACACAGTCCACAATAAAATATCCTCATAAATGTTGAATAATGGTCAAATCCACCTTTAATTTGTGATTGACGAATAATGTCTATGGAGTTGGGTTGCGAAGGTTGGTGACTTTTAAAATATGGGTCCCTAGAAAAAAAAAAATTGGGAAACACTGTTCAATATTATGTATATATTAGAACTGCGGAGGACCTGACTCTGATGTCACTAGAAGCAGTCCGCGTACCATTTATAGTACCCATACACACTCCTTTAAGCCACAAACTTAATATGACAATTTTGTGAAGCCAATGTCTACCAAATAATGATTAGGTTCAATATTTTTGCATCATTAAACAGGAACACAACCTATTTCCTACCAACCACAGCTCAGGTTTAGCACGTATAATGTCTAAAAGTTGTTGCTGTGCTCCTGTAGTTCATCATGCTGACCTACATCTTCATGCTGGCCTGGCTCGGGGTCACAGCCTTCACCTCCATCCCCGTCTTCATCTACTTCAACATCTGGAACATCTGCCAGAACGCAACGTCTCTGGAGGGGGCCAGCCTGTGCTTAGACCCACGCCAGTATGGTGAGTGAACCTGACCTTCATGGAGATTTTATCCATGTTTTGATGTAGTATCTTCATCAAAACTTACCTGTGTGAGGGCTTTCAGTGTGGAGTTGTGTCTGGATGGTTTCCTCCTCCTGATTATCCTTTCCTGTAAATAAGAGCCAGCAGTAGAGCACTATAGAGCACTGTCTGGAATGTTCCACAGTATGGCATTTAACATTTATCTCACATTATTTGATTACAGCTGTTTTATTGCTGAAAAATAGCTTGCAAAACTTTAAAGGGCCCGTCTCATGCAAAATAACTCGTTTCACATTGAGCATTGCATATCTTCTGCACATAGACAAGCACAATTTGGGTTTTGGAACATCCATTACACAATAGTTATGAAATCTTACTGATTTCTTGGAGACAGTCACAGACCAGGAACTATGAAAGACCTGCTATTGCTGATCCCCCCCGCCCGTCCTGAGAAAACACAGGCTCCGCCCTCCAAACGTGACGTAGGCTCTGAGTGAGCCGCCCTTCCTCCGCCCATCTCAGGGAGGGAGGGGGAGACAGGCCTGCACCCTGATAGCGGTAGGAATAAACTTTTATTAATTGTGGCGATACAGCGTGTTCAGTCGCATGTGTTGGGCCCGGAATTGGACGAGGACTTTGAGGTACACGAAGCGCAAGCACCGTGTTGGTATCAGCTGAACATTACTAATTGGTAAAGTGTTAATAAACGCTAGAAGATTAACTTATTATATCATGTACACTGTAGTGTAGAACAATTAGGCGGGTGGAGGGAGGGTGGAGGCAGGGTGGAGAGGGGGAGGGGTCGGATGCGAAGTGCTTTCTGCTACATAAAATGAGTCATAGGTGTAGCTGGCCACGTCATCATTGTAGCAGGCTTTTGTTCGTTGTGATGTGGGAGGGTGGCAGAAATATGCTGCAATTTGTTAAAAAATCAATCTAAAAACCACACCGACATATACAAGGTCCACACCTCACTCTTAGAAGGTAAAAAGCTCTGAAAAGTTGATTTTGCATGAGAAGGGCCCTTTAATACTCACTGTGAGCAAACATCTTCATGCCATTAACACGAGAAACCTTTTAAACACAGGTCAAAAGGTCTCTCTTGTGAACAACCCATGAATTTTCAGGAGGCCAATCTATGTGTAAATACAACTAACCACAACGAGAATTATTAAAGTGGGACTAAACTAAACAACTAAACTCCTCCCACAACCACATTTCAAAGGACAGCGTCTGAACATACAAGGAAAAGTATGATTTTTTCAGGCATCCGTGCTTCAAACTTGCAATCAGGAACAACTAGCTTTAATCAAGGCAGTGCTGCATGATGGCACATAGTACTTGAGATTGCACTGGCCATTGGAGGCAGCACATGACCTGCAAATGTAAAACTGACAAAAAACAAACACACCAATTTGGAACAATGTCCAAATCATCGTTTATTTCGTGTTTAGTTCCACTTTCAATATATTCAATTTAATATGTTAGTATAAAGTTATTTAATAAAGCAGACAAAATTCAGTCTGTCTATGGAAGAGTCTTCATTACAGAACCCAGCAGCAGTGAATAATAATGCGTGTAGTGTTCATTAGCCCCTGTCCGTCACTCCGAGTCTCTCCTATTGCAATGCTAATCCTGACATTTGCTCTGCCACACCACACACACCAGCGCCGGTCTATTCTCCATACTCCTCCTGTGTCAGTACCTTCTAATGATGGTCTCAAAATGCCTCATCTTTCAGGTATCGTGCCCATCGCTGAGGCCAAAACTGTGTGCGCCGGCTCTGAGAAGTTTTACAGGATGTGTGAATCCAACGAGGTAAGAGCCTGCGTCAAAAGATACAGTATGAACCAAAGAAAATATAATGAAAAGCACTGTTCTTAAAATATGTTTTGCTTACATAAACAGGGTATCCCCGGGTTTGACTACCCCAAATTTAAGACTTTTTAAAGACCTTTTTAAGACCACTTAAATGAAAATTAAGACCAACTTTGCACACATTATGCAGACGAAAAACACCATGTCTAATTCTAATAATGACCAACCAACTAAAGGTACTATATCTAGAATCTAAGGCTACGTTTAAGTGATGACGGTCTGAACAGAAGAGACAAAAGTGTTGTAGCGTCTTCACTTTTTAGTCTGTGTTTAGACGAGCGTTTTCGGGAGGAAATCTGCGTGCATACAGTGATGCAAAAGTGTGTGGAATTGGATTGGGTGTGCGTGTCAGGCGGCTCGGTGATGACGCTAGGTGGTGATGTATGTGACGTAAACGCGTACGTGACGTGAGCAGATCTGACCAGAGTTTTGCGTCTTGGGCAGCATAGAGGGAATTGATTGTTTACTCATTGCCGCCGGCGCCAAAAAACAAAGTATTGTTTGTACATACTCCAAATTGGACGTTCATTCAGGTTACGTTGTTTCACGTTGTTTTTTTCCTCCCTCCATTTAACATCGCACTGATTGAGTAAACAAAAAAACAGGCAAATGAAATTTAAGATCTTTGTGAAAAAAATAAGACTTGGACAACATAATTTAAGACTTTTTAAGGCCTTAATTTAAGAACATGAAATTTAAAACCTTTTTAAGACTTTTAAGACCCTGCGGCTCCACTGATAAATATAGAGATTGGCTGTTTTTTTTTCATGGCTGATGCTGATACTGATTGTTAAGAATCTAGTGTAGGGGTCTCTGACCTTTTTTTTTTTCTGTTGAGCTACCTTTACAAAAAAAAAATGCACACAGTCACAAGAAACCGAGCATAGGAAAGTCTTAGATGAGGTACAGTTAGATCCCCATAAAACACAAACCTTTATCCATGTATTAGTGCACAAAGTTAGGCATCAAAATTTCCAATGGCAGTTCATCAAATTTTTGTCATTCAGTACAATATGTATAATTCAGAAATCCTTTAGCGAGATACTTGTGAGGAGGTGGAGAGCTACTGGTAATTCCTGAGCTACAGGTTGGAGACCTCTGATCTATAGAAACCAATGGCTGATAAACTCTGCCGATAGTTTTGGGTCGATACTTAAGGCAAATTTGAATTATTTTCCTCAAATTATGTAATTTAAATTAACTAAAAAACAGACTCTCTTAGGGAACTGTATGTTTTTATGTTATTTTTTATTTTTTCATAAACATGAGATATACATGTATGTTCAAGCTTTTACTGATAACAATTGTAATGATGATACATTGGACATGGTGGTCAAGTTATTTATGTTATAATTTGGTGTTTTGGTTCTCAAGAAAGCATAACAAGCCTCACATCAGTTTCTCATTTAGGTTTGTATTTTAACAGCACTGGCTATAGAGTTCCTTTAATAATATACACTACTGGTCAAAGATTTTAAAACACCACACTTTTTTTTCCAGTTTTTTTATGTTTACTGTTGGCCAAAACGTAGTCGTCAACTTTTGATTCATCAAAGTGTCCACCTTCGGCAGATGTAACAGCTGAACGCACTCATGGCTCGTTCTTTTTACAATAGAAATCAAATAATTCTTCAGAAAGTTCTTCCCAAGTCTGTTGCAGAACTTTCCATAAATGTGTGACCCTTGTAAGTTGCTTCTTTCACTCTTCTGTCCAGTTCCTCCAAAATCAGCTCGGTGGGGTTTAAGTCTGGAGACTGTGCTGGACACTCAAGTTGTTTTCAAGCTCACCATCTTGTTCTTTTTTCCTGAGGTAGTTTTGGCAGAACTTGGACTTGTGTTTTGTATCTTTTTTTAACCTCTGGCTTTTCATTTCTTACCTTTGTACCATTCCAAGCTCTTCACTGGACTTGCACAACTTGAATTGCAATAAATAACTGGAAAAATGAGGGTGTTCTAAAACTTTTGACCAGTAAATATTTATATTATTATATTTTGTGTACATTAACATAACACGGCATCTGTGAGAATGTATTACAACAATTACAACGTTTATCATGAACTTTATTGGATATATTTTCAGCTAATTATATGGCACTGTTTTTTTTTTTAAGGTTAAACAAACTAAAAAACATATATATTCGTCTTTTTCAGCTGGACATGACTTTTCACCTGTTCATCTGTGCACTGGCTGGAGCTGGAGCCGCTGTCATCGCTATGGTAACGCTCATTAACACTACTGTACTGTATTTACATGTCCGCACACAAGATAGCATTTTGGTGCAGTAAACAGACTAGATTTATCTCCCTTAGTTGTGTTTTTTTTTTTTTTTTTTTGGAGAAGGGGCGGGCCTGTCTCTGCATCGGTCGCCATGGAAACAGGCAGAAGAAAGCCTGGGAGTGTTGCAAAGATCACTCAGTAATTTGTGAGGAGCCATTTTCCCTGACACAGACAGCAGTTGTTCTTTATAGCAGACTCAACAGCCGCTGTATAATTCATTAGGGCGAGCTTGTCGTAAAATAACTCATCCGTCTGAGCAGATTTCAGATATTATGAGCCTAAAAAGAAGCAGTGTATTCCAGTATTGCATTCATCGCCTCCTTTATGGCGTCTAACAAACAAGATCAAATGGTAAGTGGTGTCTTAGCCTAAAGCAGAATGCATTAAGAACTGCCATTGAATTCAAGCAGACACACAGTTTGATGCTGCCACCTGCTGGACACATAAGGGTGTTACAAAGTATAAAGTAACGCCCTTATGTGTAAAATATGGAAACTTCATGTGGAGCTTTGGAAAACGTAGTAGACAATCAGATGAGACAGTGAATGGACTATTAACATTTTGGTGATAAGTGATTTCAGTGATATGCTGTGAGTTAAATAATGCTCAATAGAGATGCAAAGATAGGGCTAACAATTTTAGTTAACAGATTTAAATTTTTTATGACTGTGCTTCCGGTGTTGGGTGAATCTAAGTAGGCATTTATTTTAAGATGCATAATTTTAAAATAGTCTCTGGCTGTACCCTTAGTTAGTATGTGGGAATATGTCACTATCTTACATTTTATTGTATTTAGGGCTCAAGATTTGATTAATAAATGATGCATCCATGGATCAAATGCTCTTTTGTTATTTATTAATAACCACTGATTCAGAGTGCTTCACTCATTATTTGATCCTGGTTTGAGGCCAGTTCTAATCGTGTCTTGGCTTGGCCCTGTTCTAGTATTTGAGGTGTTTGGTGTTCGAGAGTGAGCACACAAGGAGTGGTGAAATTGCTGTTTAAAAACTAAATGAAATACAATATTTTACAATACAATATATTTTACAGTTTTTTTTTTTAAATATTAAATTTAGAAATGTTCTTTTTAGTAGCAATGTTACTTGAGTCATAGATAGACATACATAGTCTCACATGTATTTAATATGCTTACTAAAACTTGGCATTTTATTCCTAATAAGACCTGTGCTGTGTTACAGATCCACTATCTGATGGTGCTCTCTGCTAACTGGGCGTATGTCAAGGACGCGTGCCGGATGCAGAAGTACGAGGACATCAAGTCCAAAGAGGAGCAGGAGCTGCACGACATCCACTCCACGCGCTCCAAAGAACGCCTCAACGCCTACACATAAGGCCCAGGCCCCGCCCCTATCCCCTCTCTCTCTCTGTCTCTCTCTGAAGCCCCGTCCTCCTGATGGGGCCGCCTCTGCCGCCGCCCCGGGCCCCTCACTGATGATGTCACTGGTGCGTCACATGACCACGTGTTCTCGGGAGACGTAACTCAGCCCTCCGAGTCACACCTCAGCATTCAGATGACCCGCCCCTTCACCTCTCTCATGGACGCTCTGAGCTAAGAGACATATTATGCTTTATATTATGGTTTCTAAAGGTTTGGGCACAATCAATCAATCTCAATCAAGTATTCAGCATTATAGAACTTGTATGGGAAATGCCCTCTTTGAGCATTTGCTGCAAATGACTGTCTACTCTACGGTAGAAACTGTATTAACTGATTAAAAATGCTGACTTTTTACCTGGTTTATAGTTAATATGTCTAGAAATACCAGGTCTATCCACAAAAACTGATAGAAAGTTCAATGTCTCTGTCAGCAGAAATTAAACAAATATTCTTTTCTTTCTTTTAGTATTTAGGGAAAAAAAACAACCTGTAATTATTAAGTCTAAACCTTTGAATGTTGGATTAGTGAAGCAGCTTGAAACTAATTATAGAGAAGGTAATTAAGTCTAATGGATGAATTAATGGGCTGGAAGTGTTACCCCAAGTTATAAATGAGGTAACTAAATGCTAATGCTTTCATCTCAGCATAATATGTCTCTTTTAACATGGCAGTTTTTATTTAGCGGTAGTAATTCGTAGAGTCCAGACTCAAAAGTAGCAGTAATAGTCTATTCCACTTAATGATCTGTAGAATTTGAAGTTATTTTGGTCCAAACGTCTATGTAGTTTTTGCTCATTTGTGAGGGGGTCAACAGGGGCTTCAAAAGGTTTTCAAGCACATTCTGACATACCGTGTGGAGATTTATCGATGTACTGTAAAAGTGGACGAGTGGTAACTTATGAATACTGTATTTTTCATGTTCACCTTCAACGCGTCATGAGCCTCGCTACTCACTCATAACACCCAGGGACTCCGAGATTTGACTTTCTATTTATGTGTTTACAATATTGTGTCAAGCTAAAACAGTAAAGCGGCACTGAGGAGCTTTCCTGGTAGAGGGTGGACTGTCGAGTTGCCTTCATGGAGATGTTATGTATCAGTTTGCATCGCTACATGCTTGCAATTTTCTCTTTTTAAAAAAAAAAACGGTGACAAATCTCGCATCAAAAAAGGGATTGCAGAAAGTGTACGAGGGAAGCTGAGGTAAGAAGCTGAGACCGGCAGCAGTGAAAAAGCTACACTGATAATCCTTATGTTATGATAGATTATTACTAGGAATGTAACACTAACCGAAATATTGTGATATAGTATCGTCAGAAGTCTCACAGTAATATCGAACTCTGTCACAATATATAAAATTATAAGTTCCTTTGCTTAAATGTATTCTTCTTTAGTACGAACAGCTAATAAAACCTGGGAACTACATATCCCATGGTTCATTTCAGCACAGACGACATGAAGAGATATGTTTTTTATTTGAATTCTTGGGATTATGACAGTAATACTACGCACCAAAATCTTGTCAAGGTATTTTAAAAGCAAAAAAGTATCATAAATATCCTACCGAGAGATTTGGATATCGTTACATCCTTAATTATTACTATATTATTTACATATTTGTGGTTAAAATTTGGTTTTTGGAAGGAAAATATCTCTTAATTGATGAATAAGGAACTAAGGAACTACAAACCTAGAAAAAAAAATTGCTATATGGACTTCCAAGATAGACACATTTAATGCCATGCAGTGGAACATTCCAGGCAAAGCAAAAGAATCTCCATGGAGACAAGCAGGTGGACAAGCAGACCCTCCTCCAGAAAAGTTACACAGCGCAACTTTAATACATTTGCAAGATGTGCCAAGCCTGTTAAATGGAAGATGACTTTTAAGGGGATGTCCGAACGAGAAATTTTGAGTATTTTTCTAAATTATTTTACTTACCGAACATCTATTTTAAATAATACAAAGCCTTATTTTAGGCTTCAAATACGCTGAAAAAAAAAATCTCTAGGGTTTTAAGCCACCATTTGGATTTGATATTTAGATAACCACCAAATAGGTAACTTAAAGGCACGAATTAATAGATAGATAGGTTGGATTTGTGGGAAGACTGGACAAAACTGGTAGAATCTGCTCTGTGGTGCTACCGTGTCAAAAGCAATACACTCTACCATATTATCATAGAAGCCAGGGACCATAAAGGGGCAAACACAGGACACCACAACTGCCCTGGGTCACACTGTGTACATGTCTGCTTCAGGGGCAGGAGGAAATTACTATTTTTCTTCAGGATCTTTACCCCACGCTGCAAAAACTGGAAATCTACATGAGTTCAAATTGGTCTGAGTAATTTTACTAGTTTAGTTTTATTCAGTTTGTCCGTCAAATTTAGTTTATCTTGAGTAAAAAAAATGAGATTATGCTCCACGGACCATACAGAAACACATCTAAAACCATTAAATCAAATAATGGTATCGCTGATATCAGAGGGTTTTCCAGATATCGTATTGGTCCGACATTGAAATGTATTTTGTCTCTTTGAAGATACTAATGAGTAAATATGTAACTTTTTGTGAACTTAACGACAACTAAAGAAAAATAATAATACCGGTAAATAAACAGTGGATATCCTCCTGGGACCAGAAGAAAAAAAAATGTATTGCAATATATTTTTTGTGATTTTCTATCTATTTGGAGGTAAATAAATATAAATTTTATAAAATATTTTTATTTATAATTTTGTAACCTCTGCAATGGACGCCAGGGACATTTTGTTGTTGATTTCTGATAGATTTTTTGATGACCAACATCTCTGTCAAGCCTCTACAGTCACCTCAAAAAGTTTGTAAACTCCCTTTTAATAACATTTTTTTTTTATCCTAGTGCAGCCACAAACTAACTCCTGTTGCGTTTATTTTTTTTATCCTGGACATGATAGTACCCCATAATCCCCCAACCCTATTTTGGCAGAGGAACTTAACCCCCCCCCATTAAGAGTTTATCTCAAAACACCTAAAAGATCGACTGGTTAACACAATGTCCACTATAAAGGACACAAATGAATGGGTCGGGTCTCAGGAGGATATTGCGGTCGGCTCAAAAACTATACTGAATCATTCTCATACACAAACTAAATAAACTAATCAGAACTACTCTATAATATAAATTTAAAGTCATTTTAACTCCTGTAGCTTTTCCATTTTTGCAGTACAGGTCACAAACACACACAATACAATATGCTTCCGAGATGATAACCATTTGATTCCTCAGTATTTGACCTTCAGACATTCCTGTACTGTACATAGGCCAGTCTTACCTTGACATGAAGCACTTGGCGAACGGGTCTCTGCCCTCTGCGTCTGTCCCGGGAGAGAAACGATCTGTCAGACACGTTTGTGATGGTGGCACTCTATGGTGGAAGTCTGTTCTGAGTATGTGTGCTATTGAAGTGACTGTATTGATTTTCGGTGATGTACGAGGAGTTTTTAAGTACGCTTTTATGTGGTACTATATGTGCAGTGTTGGCGAGGTGAAAAGAGGAATCGTGTTGGCGCTCAGGCTTCGTTCATGCTGACAGAGACTTGGTTTGATCCTGTTCAAGTGCCAGTTTAGTCCTGGTCTAGCCTGGTTTATAAACTTGTAATCATTTTTTCTTATGGTCAAAATAAGACCACTGTATGCTGTCTGCATCTAATTATAATGCACACCAGGAATATTTGCATGCTAGTTGTAATTGGAAGTGATTGTTTTTTTAGTTTTTAGGAAAGCAAAAGTCAGATACAGTGTCTTTAAACGCAAAAATATATAGCGATAACATTTACTTTGCAATAGATTGGCACACAAATCTAGCAAAGAAAGCGCCACCTAGTGTCTCCGCTCAATTTAATTTCTCTCCAGCAACTAGGTCAAGAATCGGAACACACTAGACGGTTCGCAAAAACCCCAGAAGTGCAAGTTCGGGCACCAGCCAATCAGTGAAGAGTGATATATTCAGTGTGGTCAACGATTCCCGAGATCGAGGATTTAAAGCCGGAACAAAGAGAATGTTTGGTGAATTTGATCAAGGGGAAAGACGTTATTGTCCTTCTTCCTGCAGGGTTTGGGAAAAGCTTAACATACCAGTTTGCCCCGTTAGCGGCGCATTGCATACATCACAACCAAATAGCAGCGATTTGTTAAATGATTAAAAAGTACCCGCCTACTGTTGAGAGAACAAAATCTAAGGCTGCAAGGTCAGACGGTTTGTACGAAGTGAAACGAAGTAAAACAGGCTAATGAATCAGTCTAACACAATTCTGGCATTAGTTAGAAACCTCAAGCCACCCAGCTTCAATTTTTACAATCTACAAATACCATCGCTGCATGAGTACCACATACTACAAAGCTACTTCTAAACTCCTTCAAGTACTGCGTTAAACTGGCCAGCCGGATCATTCCATCTGTATTTCCTCTTCTCTCATGCACCATTCCCACTCTCTCTCTCTTTAATGTAAGCGCATTGGTGTGGAATAACTGTACTGTGAAGACTGTGAATCTTGGTGTTATTCTGTGGCATGGATTTGCATTTCTATAGTTAACTTGAAACAAACTCCTTTATTTTGACGAAACTGTAATTTTATCGTTTATTTTTTACTGTCTTGCTGGATAGACCCATTGTTTGTACAGTGCCGCTCCCACCGATGCTACAAATATGCTAATGCTATCTGCTTTTAGAGCTCGTAGGCTAGTCAGTTTGCTTTGTTATCGGCTCTCATGGATGTCTTAAACCCGTACCAGGATTGCTGACACTGTTACGACAGAAAAGGAAAAAAAATGCTCTCAGCGTTCTCCTCAGTCTTTTGTACTTCACTTTGAACACTATAGTAGCGGGCTTTCAATCTGATCTGTTTTGTTTTTGTACATTTATGTGCCAAAAGCTTCAAGTGGCTTATTTGACCTGTCTGATCAAATTTGCTTGCGAAATAAAATTCACTTGTGTACTTGTTACGAAATGTGTTGTGTCGTTTGTGATTTAGAAGATACTTACAAAATCCTGTACAGCACACGTCTTGTTTCTGCAGGATGCGTGAAAGTCTTTGGGCTTTCAAACTACAGACAAGGAAAGCAGAAAAGACAAACAAAGTGATACAAATCAGCACAGTATGTAAGTACCAATTTTCCAATAAGTACAATTCTTACCTTTAGAGATCTTTTAAAATAAGCAATGAAATAAAATGTATAATTACGTCAAAAACATCCATCTGGACTGGATGTCTGAGTACCGTATTTTCTGCACTATTAGGCGCTCTGGATTATAAGGCGCACTGTCAACTGTCATAGAATGGTCTATTTTCGAACTTTTTTCACGAATAAACTGCACCGGACTTTAAATGAAACAAAACAGTTCGATAGGTCAGTGGGACTTTGTTTGGCGCGTTCACGGTGACTCTGGGCTTTGTTCAGTTGTGGCGTGTAGGGAGGGTGCTGTCTGGGACCGCTGGGTTGTTGGCGTGTTCGCAGTGACTCCGTTGTTCAGTTGTGGATAGAAGTGGCACATTACACTCGCTTTTTCGGTTCGTTTCTCCGTTCCATTCCTCGTCGGTGTGGAGTGATGAGAGTGACTGCAAGTGTTTGTCGCTGTGCGGTCGCAGTCTGCTCCGTGTGTGTTTGCGTGCGCTGAGGGTGGTGCGGCTTTGTAGTTTACTGAAGTCGTGCTGGGACACCCGAGTGTATAGGGCGCTCAGGATTGCGGGGCGCACAGTCGTTTTTTGATGGGGTTGGAGGCTTAAGAGCGTGCCCAATAGCCCGGAAAATACGGTACTACTGGCATAGATTCATTTTAATGTAATGTAATGTTGAATGTGTCCACACTCCTCACAATATAGCGAGAGACTGGGAATGAGGCTTTAACCTTAATGTGAACAAGTTTGATACAATATCCTAATTTGTGGAGAACAGCATTTAGAGATGAAAGGCAAATGGTATCGTATTTGAGATATGTGAAATGTAGACTGGTCAGCAGATGTCACCAAAAGCCTTGTAAGAAAAGCCCTGGAGCCTTTAGCCCTACTCCACAGGATTAAAAACAAAGGCAGGTCTGGCCCATAAGACACAGACTAGGCACTGGTGAAGTGCTTAGTCTCCTCTTCCTGCTGCCTCCTCTGCCGCTCCACAAATCCTCCCCTAATCCCCACTCACCCCCTCACAGTCTCACAGTTCACCTGGACGTCCAGCGCCACTCTGCACCCATGGGACCCAGGACACCAAACTGACTTTCCTGCCTTTGTTTCAGTGCATTTTAAACCAAACTCAGACGAATGTCCATACTTTGGGAGTGTGGCTGTGAGCTGGTTGTGGACATCGGTTGACACCATGCGAGTGACGCTCTATCTGCCTGTGCTGCTCTGCTGCGTCACTGTGGCTGGTGCCTTCTGCCCCTCGCAGTGCACCTGTGTGTTCCACGGACGCACCGATGGAACAGGGAGCAGGTCAGTCTAGAAGCAACAAAACAGAAAAATATCAACATTACATATTTGTCCTCTAAACCTCTTAGCATTGGTACAGTTATTTCCATTGTATGCACTGCGTAACTTTTCTGGTGAGAGGTTCAAGCACCATGTCACTGCTCTTCTTAGAATGTTCTACAATATGTCTTGGATATAATAAATAAATAAATAAATAATTTTATTTTATTTATTTATTGTTAAAAAATATAATGAAAAAGTGCATTCTTACAGTGAATGAGATCACCTCTCCACAGATCTGACCTACTGCCATACTCTGGACTATTCTAGGCAAAACTATAAAATCTCCAAGGAGACAAGCACATGGCATGTCATCCATCTGAAAAGTTACACAATACACCTTTAAATAATGTATATGGCAAACAAGCAAAAGCTATTCTGTCCTGATTTGGAACGGTACAAAACAGGCAGGCCGAGTAAATGACACTAACACAGTAGCTTGTGGCTTTAAAGATGATTAGGTAGAAAGTGAAATCAATATGTGTATATGTGTGGGTCTTATGAATTTGAATGGACTTTTAAAAACACAGAGGAGCTACTTCCTGGATTACCCCCTAATGATATCATGCAGTGGGATAAAGCATTTGAGCTAAAGAGGGGGAGACGGCCTGAATGTGCAGGAATACTCAAACATGTTCAATGAAAGATGAGGAAACACTGAAGCAAGTATCATAACATTGGTAAAATCTGTTTCTTCTCCCCATACTTGAATACACAGTTAAACTTTGTTTTGTGATCGGTAAAATAAAAAAAAGTGATTTAGTTTGAGAATAACTCTTTATTGTTGTAACTTCAGTATATTGTCAGTAACAACAGTTGGGTGTGCACATTTCCTGGAAAACTACAAATTCACTTATCCTGAAAATGCTCTAATACCAGATTTTCAGCTTGCACATAAAAATAAATATCTAAAGTAAATAGCTACTTATTTAGAACATCAACATGAAGTATATATTGATAATTTGATATTGTGAGTAGAAGTGTAGATTGGTGAATTTAAAAAGTAGTGCAGTGCAGACTTAATGAAAGCCAGTCACATGACCACGGCCTATTTGTGTTCAGCACTTAATCTTTGCTAATTGCTGAGTGTCCTGTGTAACAAGATGGCGTCTCCAGAAGCAGCACCAAAACACTCACATAGAAATCTACAGTATATAAACATTTTTTGTACAATATTAAGGTGCATGTGATTCCATTATAACCAGGTGTGGTGGGAAAGTATCTGCGGTAAGAGGCAGTTTGTGGAAAAAAGTTCAGAAGAACAAAAATACAGAAAGTAGCAGTAATAAGTTCAATTAAACCGTTATTTATTGGTATTCTTGGTCTTATTTGATTTTACTAGTTTTATTGTCTAAACGAGGACTAGTGGAGTTAAATACAGCTTTATTTTATATTTCTACTGAATATGTTTTATTTGTATTGCGCAGCACTTTGGAAACAGTTTTGTTTCTGAAATGTGCTTCATAAATAAAGTGGATTGGACTGGATTCTAACACTTTAGGGCTGCTTGATTATGGAAAAAAATCATTATCACGATTATTTTGGTCAATATTGAAATAACGACTATTCAAACAATTATTTTTTAGTTACACGATGCATTTATTCAGCATTTCTTTCTCAAAAAAATCTAAACAAAACAAAACAAAACTTTGTTATTGATAATTTCCGCAAAACTTTCAAATTGAAAATAAATATAGGCTACAAATATGAACCTTAGAGCAGTTTTGCGATGTATAAAACATAAAATGAATAAAATATACTTTAAATGTGAAATAAGGCATAGAAAAACATAAATGTATCCAAAATAAGCTATATATCCACCTGTTCTACAATCTCTATATTAAAAAATTAAATAAATATACTTATAAATATATAAAAAATATCCCAAAATAAACTTTGTTAAGCTTTCGTTTCAACTCGGTTATACGAGTTTTGAAATCGTTTGACACACAAATCGAAACTGTGATCAAAATTCAATTAACTGCACTGCCTTAACCTCTACCTATGTCATCTACATTGAAAATTCCATCCAAAATTTAGGGACAATTTACAAGTTTTGGATGTTGTTAACAGCAGATATGACAGTAGTATGTCATATCTGCTGCCCATGTCCAACCAGAAAGAAAAATTAAAAACTTCATCAAAATTTTTAAATATAGGCAAGATTTTTAGTATAATCTTACTTACATACCAAAAATAATAGTAAAAATTGGGATGATAATTGATTCTACCATTTCAGATCTGTGCTGTGTAACGACCCGGACATGTCGGACATCCCTGTGAACGTTCCCGTGGACACCGTCAAACTGCGCGTGGAGAAGACAGCTGCACGCAAAATCCCCACCGAGGCTTTCTACTACCTGGTGGACCTGCGCTACCTCTGGATCACCTACAACTCCATCAGCTCCGTGGACACGGGCAGCTTCTACAACCTCAAAGTCCTGCACGAGCTACGGCTGGATGGAAACCTGATCTCCGTTTTTCCCTGGGAGTCCCTGAAGGAGATGCCCAGTCTGAGGACGCTGGACCTACACAACAACAGGCTGACCACTGTCCCATCAGAGGCCGTCCCGTACCTGGTTAACATCACCTACCTGGACCTGTCCAGCAACAAGCTCAGCACGCTGCCCTCTGACCTCATGGATATATGGCCCCCGTTCAACAAGGCTCCAGTGTCCAACAGCTCACAGAAGATTGTACTGGGTAAGACACCAACTCCCAGAGCTGTGGGACGCTCAGAAAAACACAGAGAACCACATGGTCAGTAACCTGTATCTAGGGCTGGGCAAGTCTGGAGATATTGTGTAAATCCAGCAGAACAGTGCTAAAACAAGGCTTGCATGTTTTGAGGTTAAAGTATCAGACAACACGATCTGTGCACAACACCCGGCTAGTCTCTTCCTGTCCAATTGCATCTCTAGGGTCGTGCTAAAATGTATAAATACAGATCAGGCTGTGGACAGTGAGCTGTGGGTGTCACTGACAGCATGATAAACACTTCAGCAAATTAATGAATACTTTACCAGAGGACACTTGTTTTGTAAAAAAAAAAAGTAGGTGTCTGTGTCTCAATGCTAACACTAAAGCTAATTTTGAGTCATAATAAATATTAATATTATTAAATAAATGTTAATTAAAAAAACGCAGCAGACTAAAAATAATCTACATTCAAATTATAGGGTAGTCTATATTTAATTGGTTGTTTATTTTATAGTTTAAGTTTTAATAAAAGCTGGCATTAGTTGTGAGCTCATTTGTACGTAACATTACTCACAAAAGTAATATACATTTCGAAGTTAATAACAAATTTATATTTGGAGGATTTCTTGTTAAATCGTCAACTAGTCAACTAAATCTTGGGCTATTTTTCTTGTCCAACACATGGCATTTATTTATTTGTCGGTGATCAGGTCCCTGAATTATGGGTCTTTCTGTGTGGAGTTGATATATTCTGTATTGTCTGTGTTGCTTACTGTGCTCAGTTTTCTCTAACACTAAATAAACTTACAGAAGAACAGAGGGCCACTCTGCAGTCCCCAAGAGCCCACACGAATGACACACCAACTCTCAGTGGGACTTTTGGTTAGATAAATAAATGCAGTAAACTTTTACTTCTGAAAAGTTGTGGAAAATTGTCAAGCTAGAGTTGAACTAAGTGAAAGTGAAGAGAGTGATGCCAGAGATTTTTGTTTAGATCCGATACAGCCAGAATATTGATCCAGTACCAATATCAAATCAATATGTTTCGTATTAATAGACACTGAAACTTTTTGAAGAGCCATGGCATGATAGATTTATAGACATGTCATATTATTTTTCTCCACCTCATGTTAAATTTATTGAAAAAGTGATTTAAAAAATGATTGAAACCTGATTAAATATAACAGAGGGAGAAATTTAAAGTATAAATTTTTTTTCAAATGAGAATTGACACTTTAACACCTAAATATACTGATATTTTCGAAGTGATACGCCCATCAATAGTCATCAAGATCGCCTCTCTTCTAGTACATTCTACAGCTCAGTGTTTTCTTGGGATGCGTGCGTGGAACTCTGGAACATGCCAATAAGCTCCAGAATGACGAAGTAGCTTATCAAAGAACTGGCACAGACTACAGGAGCAACTGAGGGAGCAAAGGTTACCAACAAGTTCATTCACCAACTGTTAAAGCTTCGTTAACAGTTTTAATGAAATCTGAACGGTCTAATTGGGGTGAGCGGTCTACAGCCGATCCTCACGGGCCACGTTTTGTTACCCAGCACTAATTAAACGTCTTGTATCATGTTCAGAAAATCGATACCGGAATAGATTTGTATTTTTTACGTAAAAGACTTAATTTGATGTGAAAACTGAGATGGATCAAGATGAGTAAAAAAGTCATCTCTGGTTGTGACAGATCCTTGTGTCATTAAAGTGTAAATGTGAAGTGTAATAGTGTTGCTGCCAACAGAAGATAGGCCACGGGCGGCTTAGGTGTGTAAGACAATCTAATCTGTTTAGAAGAGCTTAAACATGAGTCACATGCCTGGCTATTATCAGCACAGCTACAGAACTGTGGGGGGAAAAAAATTACAATTAAAAATGCTTTCTCACGAGGGGCTAATAAATCCTACAAGGGCTGTCAATACTAAAAGTTGTACTGAAACTTGATACTCATTTCAGCAAGTATGGATGCTAAAAACATCACACAAGAGCATAAATATCACCAAACCAAATCTTATGTGATGTTACGGTTGAACTTTTTGGGGAAAAATATCTAATTGCAGTGACAAGCATTGTGATTTTGAGAGATAAGAGTCTTCAATGTCCACATTTTAAATCTGCCCATGAGAACTGACAAAAAGAAAAAGGAAAAAAAAAAGAAATATGAGCTGACAAAATAGTACAAAAACCTCAAATCTTTAACCGTTTTTTTTGTGCAGAATAAGACAGGAGATTTTGTTGTTCGTGGATGTCATTATGGTACTGCAGTCTTTGTGATTTACTGATTATGTCTTCTCAAACTGTGATTTAGTTTTAGTTTTGATTAATCTTGCATGTGATAAACCTACATTGTGTTTTGTTCACAGGTCTCCAGGACAACCCATGGTTCTGTGACTGTAAAATCTCTAAACTAATCGAGATGTCCAAGATGGCCGACAGCCCGGTGGTTCTGATGGATTTGTTTTTGACGTGCACGGCTCCGGATAATCTGTCCGGAGTGTTGTTCCAGAGAGCAGAGCTAGAGAACTGTGTGAAGCCCTCAGTGATGACATCTGCCACAAAGATCACTTCCCCTCTGGGCAGTAACGTGCTGCTGAGGTGTGACGCTACAGGGCTCCCCACGCCGGCGCTGTCCTGGGTCAGGCCCGATGGAGCAGCTGTTGATAACACAGGTACAACACTGTCAAATCTCAGGACAAACGTACTATAAGCAAACCGAGCAGCAAGCAGCAGAGGACAGTGCAAAGATACAGTGAAAACAGACTAGGGATGTAACAATAACCAAAATATCGTGATATTGTATCCTCAAAAGTCTCACAATAATATCGTGGGCTGTCACAATATATCGAATTACAAGTGTCTTTGCTTAACTCCATGGTTTTATAGTAGCAACAGCTTATAAACTTAGGAACTGCATAACCCATTGTAGTGGACCAAGCAGAAAGGCAAAGACAAGGTATAAAAATAAGTTTACATTTAATAAAATCAAAAGAAGATATAATTTAACAAAGGCTCAAATTAGGCAAATTATTAGCAAAAAAGCCGGGCCCAACTGGGGTAACTCAAAATCAAACTGAACAGAACAAAACTAACCCAACCCGACAAAGGAACAGGGGTGTTTAAATACTTTAGGACCAACTAAAGCTAAACACCAGAGGGAGGAATTAAACAAAAGAATTAACTAAACTACTAATTTAATCAAAGTAACAAAAAGGAAAATAAGTATAATACAAAAAATAACAAGTGATAATAAAGTGACCTTAAAGCAAACTAAACAAACTAACTTAATAAAACTAAATAGTGCTCCCCCCTCCTTGTTGAGTCCTGATGGTCTCTCCCAAGGGTCCTCCGTCTGGTGCTCAAAAAAACAAAAAGAACAAGTGTAAGTAAATCAGACTTATATTAATTAAATGTGTGCACTCAAATTAGAATATAAGTCTAAATAAAATATAATGAAATTAACGTAATTGAAATGAAATGAAATAATACTGACACTATGGAGTGGTGGCAGAGGTATCCACCACACCCATGATTCATTTCAGCGCAGACAACATGAAGAAATATGTTTTTTACTTGAATTCCTGGGATTATGACAGTAATAATTCACACCAAAATCTTGTCAAGGTATTTTAAAAGCAAAATATAGCAATAAATATGATACAGTGAGATGCATATCGTGATAATATTGTACTGTGAGATTTGGATATTGTTACATCCCTAGAATATGACAATAAATGTTGTATCAAATGACTGGTCAAAGTATTTTATAAAGTGTCTTGTTATTATTTATAATATTATAATATCGTGAGCATCCCCACCATACCGTGAGCTTTCCCACGATATTGCAATAAATATTGTACCGTGAGGTTCATACCGTGACATTATCGTATCGTGAGACTTGGATATCATTACACCCCTAATACAGACAGAACAAAAGTTGCAGTCAACATGAATACAGTTGATAGTTGTCTGGATTTGATAAAAAGAAAAGAAAACACGATAAAACAAATGCATTTGTTTGTTATAATGCTTTTTATACACCCATTTATTCACTCTAAACAGACACATGGCCACTAGATGAACATACGACCTACAAACTGCAGTTATAAGAGACAAACTTAGTACACAGTAAAAAGCAGAACAGATAGTAAGAAAAGTGAGCAAGCAAGCAAAAACAAAGAAGAATATATATTTTTGCTATTGATAAAAACTATACTTGGTATCTGTTTGGAAAATAAGCAAAAACTGCTCAAAGAATCAGAACCAGTCACAATCTTTACTGCCAGCTGTAGTGCTTATATTTCTACAAAAACAAATTGCCATACAAAAGAAGATCAGAATTTAAAAAACATTAAAATTGCAGCGTGTTCTTCTACATAAAACGCTGATAAATGACTTAACATAAAGGTAAACTATTATGGACTGCAAGAACACTTCTAACAACTGAAACATGGCTTATAAGCGTCTGAAACCTTCAGTGTGTATGTTGATTTGGAAAAGTCAGAGAAAAGCCCTTCAATAAATATCTCGTATTAACTCACTCCACATGATTCAGTTGTTTTTATTTTGCTATTTTGTCCATAAATAAATTCCTTTTCCTAATATGGAACTCCAGATTCGCTCTATAACTGCTAGCCTCGTGAGCTTCATTTGACTGGAGCGAAAGGTATGGGCACACTCCCTTAATCCAAGTCTTTATACAGACCATGGATGAAACCTTAAATTAACATGCCATATACTTGTGTAGTGAGACTATATTAAAATAGCTTTTTTTGAGGAACAATTTTTTTATTTTAAACAATTTGCAGTGGTTCAAAGTTACATTAAATATTCTAAGCATCCTAATTATTAACCGCAATGACTTTATAAGCGCGTTTCACAACTCTCAGAGTTTACGATGCTGATACACTATATCTGTCGTGGGGCAAGACTAATTTTACTACAATACATGAAAAAAAATTGACACAGAGCCTTTAAGCATGTGGATAGAAGGTTGTGTAACTTCAGCAAATGTAAGTGCTGAAACATTTGGACTGAAGCAACAGGCAAACAGAGTCTATTTCAAGTAGACGAGTGAATCTAATGGAACGTTGTATTTTAATTTCAGTGGAAGAATCTCCTGGAGATGGCGTGCGGTGGTCTATCATGAGCCTAACTGGAATAATGAACAAAGATGCTGGGAACTACAGCTGCAAGGCCAAGAATGTGGCAGGAGATGCCGAGGCCACCATCTTCGTGTCTGTGGCTGGCACCCTGAGCACCACCCTCCCTCCATCTGGCACCAGGCCCCCCAGCCTGGGCACCACCTTCACTGCTGCTGCTGAGCCCTTCTCAGTCACACCCACAACCCTGCTGCTGTCCACCACTGACAGACCCAAAACAACAACCACCGCCCAGAAAAGCTCGCTCAAACCAGCCAAAATCAAACAAGCAGGGAGCGGGAAGAGGCTGGCTGCAGATGAGAAGGGCAGTAAGGATCCTTCAAAGTCTGTGACAGACTTACAGATAGTGGAGGAGGGCATGGACAGTGCTGTGCTCCTGTGGACTGCAGATGGTTTATCTGGTGACACTCCTCTCACTGTGGTGTACTCCCCTTATGGAGAGGAGGACACTAAACAGACTCTGGAGACCAGCGTGGGCAGTGGGAAGGAGCTGCTCCAGGGGCTGCTCCCTGGGACCAGGTACTCTGTCTGCCTGGTGGTTAAAGGCAGCACCAGTGCCAAAGACCCCTGTGTGGACTTTTACACATTGGACAGTGCAGACGACAGTGGGCTCAACCAGCTCTTCATGATAGTAAGTGGCATCGCTTGTGCTCTGATTCTGCCACTTATTGCTCTGTTGATCTATAAGATCTTAGCGTTATACTGCAAAGGACCGCAAATTCCTATAGATGAAGAGGAGCTGGAGAAAGAGAGCTATGTGAAGTTTGAGACCATCTCGATGAAGCACAGGACTTTGAACTCTCACCCTACAGAGCTGTGGGCCCGGAGGCCTACCCATGACTCGGAGCGCATGCTCCTGTGCTCCAGGTCCAGTATAGACTCTCAGATGACCTACAAGAGCGACAGCTCACGCTCAGAGTATCTCTGCTGACACATGCCAATGTTTGTATTCTGTCTTTGCCTTTAACGCAGCCACTGGACAGGCCATAAGGCAAGAGTGACCCCAATGTGTGTCTCATCACCTGATTGTTGCCTTATTTATACAAAGGTATTTTTATATAGATTGTGTCCTCTGTTCACAGAGACACGTCCGTGGATACTGTTGTTTATGGATGCAGTTTTATGATTTGTGATATGTTTTAATAAAATTAATAACATTTTGACATTTGTTGCCATTGCATTGTGTACGTACTAGATGATAGCAGCTAGATGGAAGTAATTCATAGGCTAGATCAGAATATGATGGTATTTGTTAACTGTATTTCATGTTTAATAGCTCCACAGGTTGTTTTAGTTCTAGGTCAAATTAATAAAGATATAATGATAGATATTGGGTTGTGTGGCACGTCACAGTACAGCCACAGTTGTTCCTTGCCTGGAGATGTATGGGAGGTTTTACAGTTGCATCACAAATCTCCAGGTAACCGCAGTAGAAGACAATACATCAGCGCACATGAGACTTAAGGATGTTTTATTTGGGGACTTTCTTGTTGACTTTTTTTAAAAATGATTTGTTCTTTAGGTGGTGTACCCAGCTTTATTCTTGAAACTTACATTTTTCACCTATTAGATTGCAGGTGCTGTTATAGATCAGCATGGAGACAGGCGCTTACATAATGCGCCTTTTAAGACCATACAACTTCACACTAATGCTAACAACAACTAGCCTGCTAACAGTGCACTTCCTGGTTTGTAAAGGCTAAAATGCTTTAAAATTAGATGCAGTTCACAAAGGTCTCATTGTGACCCTAAAAGCAGCTGGCAAAATATTTTACATTATTACAAAAAAGTAAAAATCAGGTAGATCCACCACAAAGATGCCACATTCTGAGCATCCGAGGGTTGAGATGTTGGCTAAAGGTCGTCGCCCTGCTCACTCACGTCTGGAGACACTGCCACTTTCTCAGCCGTGTAAATCACCACGGCTCCATGAGGCTAATGTGACCAGAACAATATCCCAGTCAGAGCAGCTGTGAATAGAGGTTCAGTCCCTCCTGTCTGTTGCTTGTTCTCCTGAGTAAATAAGAGGACAAACAATCTTGGGAATAAATTACCCCTCCCCCGGTCGCAGTATATGAGTCATTCCTGGAGCGGGGGTGAAGTAGAGCAGTCTAGATTCTCATTCACAAACAGAAAACAATTGTATGGTCCAAAATGTCATGTCAATGATCATACTGTAAGTATAATATGCATGTACTGTGCAATTATAGCTTATATTGTACAGGAAATTAGAAGTCTATATGCTCTTTGTTCATTTAGGACAGTAGTAAAAAAAAGGGGTGGGGTTATATAAGTATTTACTTCCTCACACTCATTTTTCAGACACAAGTAAAATCTGTGTGAAATTTATTTTGGTTTATTATTATAGAAAAGAAATATATATATTTTTTGTATTATATCTATGTATTTATATTTTCTATGCATGTTATATGCATTAATGTCCAAATAAACATTCATTAATTCATAATAGATTTAGAATAGGTTAAATGTGAGCTGGAAGGCAGGTCAGACTTTGGTAGAATTTGCCTTTAAACTGTGAAAAGGATGATTTTCAGTCTGGTTTAAAGTTAATACTTTGCAACAGTGGTTATATCCATATGAAACAAAAACTGGCACAAAGTTCAATATTTTCTATCAAAATGTACAAACAAGATCAAGTCAGGTCATTTTATTTATATAGCAAGTTGCAACACGTGAAACACAATATAGTGAACACAAATATAAAATATATAATACATTGATTTCACTATAAAACACATGCACCATTAAAATGACTTATAACAAATATAAGATATATGGCAAATTAATTCCCAACAAAATATCTGCATTTTCTGTTTGCTTTTTTTTTCACTCAAAAACTGAACTGCCCATACAGTTATACAGTAATATAAATATTATATCAGAAATTGTACTCTATAAATGCAACCTATTCACATTTTTAATAGATTTAAAGCCAACAAGTTTTCATGTTATCAAATTATTACTTAGTTGGTGGGATAATAACTGTGTTAAATAATTTATTATAGCTTTCCATCAGCCAAATGACAGTTTGTGGAAAAAAATTGAAAACAAAAACTGAGTTCAAATAAGGAATCCATCCATGTCATCAATGCATAAAATTCCTTGCAAAATCCAAGGAAGTTTTTTTTTTTTTATTATTATTTTGAGCGTTAAAACATTGATTTAAGAAAACAAAGGTGATTTTTTTTTATCTGTCAAATCATAATGTACAATATCATACACTTTAAGTCACTATTTGCAAAGGCACACTCGCCACAACCTCCAGACTAAAGATAGGACAAAAGGTTGGAATAAGGGTGCATTCTTGCTGTGTTAACTTTCTAGTTGGATATTCGAGAGGCGTTTAAAGTTCCAAAACTGGCATGTGCAAAATTTACCACAGGGGTGTGAGGAATTTCAATCTTTGCTTCTAAAACAGTCTGCCAGCATCTATGGATTTTTTTTTTTTTTTTTTTTGTCCTGAGATGGTACTGCCCTCTAGTCTGTGACCTCTTGATTTAATTTGCCCCAGTGTCTACCATGACATCCACTGGTGTGAGCAACTCCGCAGTCACTCCAGATTGAAACTTTGGACCAAGATGCCAGCATTCTACAGGCGCATGTGGCTGGTTTTGGTGGAATTTCTGTTTCCCAGCGATGAGGAAAAGTGACAAATAACACAGGATTATGTTGGCAGCGCTGGTTACTACACTGATCTGTTTTATACTACAAAGCTCTCTGGCCCATGGGAGGGTGTGCTGGGAGGAAAGCATGGCACCTAAGGGAAGGAACAGCAGCTGCGTAGGTAAGTTCTGCACCTCTTCTAAACTGATAAAAAACAGAATTGACCCTAATATGATATTTAAAGGGCCCGTATTTTGCTATTTTCTGATCTATGTTATAAGGTTTCCTCATCACAAACAGACCTGGAGTTGTGTTTTGTTTCATTCACACATGTTTAACACACAAACCTGAATATTTGGGTTGGGTTCGTCTCTCAAACAGAAAACACTCCATAACATCACTGTGTGATGTCATGTGGTAATACAGGAAGGGCTCCACTGTGTTTTTAAACACCACACACCTTCTCTAGAATCATTTGGATAATTTTAGCCCCAGAATTGCCAATCTCCAGCTTTTAACTTGAAAGCTACCACTACATGTCATCATAAGGTAGAACAGAGCATTTTGAGCTTTGGAAATATAGACAGACTCCTAATAACGGATTACTCAAACACATTGATGCTCATCTGTAGTCCAGGTACTATAAATGAACATTAGCCTTGTGGCTAAATCTGCTGCATTTAGAGAAATGTTCATGAATGTACAGTGTCCCTATCAAATAAATAGATAAAAAAATGAAACAAAACATAACTCCAGGTATGTTTTTGAGGACATTCTTACATGGCTTAAAGCTCACAGGAGTCAATTTTGTGTATTATGTAACCTTTAAGTAAAGGAAGAAATTAATGTGCATATGACAGGTTTTTCTAATTATGACTTGGTTTGGTGGAATAGTACCTGAGGTAAATATTTATCATACTTTTACACCAGTTAAGTAGCACTTTGTGGGGAAAAAAGTTGAATCAGTTGAATCAGAAACTTCACCAGAAAGAGGCAACAATTTTGTAAAATCTAAATTATAATGATTGTTAACTATGTTTTGGTGAAAAAGTACTTTAACCTGACAAATATGCACATTCAATTTCTTGTTTAGCAGTGTACTGCAGTAGTTCTCATACTTTTCACTATACCACGGTACCACAACCACCTAAGAAAAGATCTCGCTTTCTAGGTTTGGTCCAGTTTAGTCCTAATGTAGGACTCAGGTCTAGTTTATGTGGTATATGTGTTAGGTTGAACACACCCTAATCTTTATCCAAAGTTGAGGGCTCACCCGACGTAAGACAAAAACATGAATAAAATCAAGTCAGTATCAACATCTTGCCCGACACACCAAAACGTTTTTTAAATAATTTCTGTCAACTCTTTCTTTTGGTGTTGTTTTACAATACATATGCTACTAATGACTTGTATAATGGCATACATTACAATATTAAAACAAGATTAGAGATAGTCTATACCAGAGGCACCACTGTACCATTTATATGGTAAGGCCAAAATTAGATGTATTTAGCAAACGTTTAAATACTGATTATGAGAAAGACACACAATTTCCCTAAAGTCCAGACTAGACAGATGATGTTGACCACAGAATGAACTTGTGATTCAATGACTGCATCCTAGCAACCAAGCATCTGCGGCGGAGCGCTCGGACGTCAGAGTGGACATTTAATCATTATGTTTGGTCTGCTGATCGATGCTTCATTCCACTGTGACAACAGCAGCATCTATGGCTCTACTCAGAGTTATCAAAGACCACCATTTATCGTCTTACTCTATGGACAGACAGTTCATGAAAAAATAACCAAATAAATCAGAAATAAGTGGGGACAATATGTAACTTTCTGTAGTTTTCTGTGGAGGGTCCATCTCCTGCTTGACTCGGTGGAGATGTCATTGCTTTCTCTGGACAGTATGGCATTTATCTGATCTATCTCTAGGTGAAATCACAAAGCCAAGTTATGAGACAAATTTGTGGAGGGGAGACCACAATCACAGTGTCTTTCAGCAGGTCAGAACATCACCGGAAATTAAATAAATCAAAATTTCTCAAACGAAGATCAATATTTTGAATGTACATTTTCCGTTTTTGCACTACACCGTTTTTGTATAAAAGAGATTTAACGTCAGATTGGTGTAATAAGGATCCTAAGACTTTCAATATCCACCATCCTCACAGAACAATGCTACAATGTTACATGAAAGAAGGCTTTGCATCCCTAACTGTAAAACTAAGCAATCAATTAAACGATTGATCCCTAAATGACATGAATATGTTCTCATGTTAACCTGGCTAACAACTGATTATTATACCACTCAGAATTGTGTTCTGATTTGTTTTTCACAAAAAAAGTCTAGTCTATAAATAGTCTATATAAAGGATTGTTGCTAAAATAGACTGAAGTATGTCTGTCGGCGTCATCATGTTTGTTTTAGTTCATTTGGGTGGTTCACTTTTGGCTTCTGCTTGGGTCTGGACCATCCCATTGCAACAGCATTTTTTCTGACATGGATATACAGTTAATCTAATATATTTTAAAAATGTATTTATACTGAATCTTTCCTGTTTTTGAATGTTTGTTGTTGTCCTAAATGTTATGTAGCAATAGCCCAGCACATTTTTTATTGGACAATAAAGTTTATTCTATTCTAAACTGAAAAACCTACTTCATATATCATGTCTGCTCAGCTCCACAGCCTTTTCTAATCTTTGGCCATGGCAAAGCAATCCACAGACTGGACTTGGACGGTAAGAGACAGAGGCGGCTGGTGGCTGGAGTGGGCTCTTCCATCATCATAGACTTTGATTACAGAGAGGAAAGTGTGTACTGGGCAGACAGGCACTCCGGGCACATCTACAAAGCACAGCTGGGAGCGCACAAGCAGGTAATTATGGAAGCTCTCACGATGTTTGGAATCACAAGTCACTATGACACCCTGAATACAGCAGCTGAGAAGAATGAGAGAAATTACTTGTTTTGCAGAAAGTGTTTTCCTCAGACAAACATATTTCAGGCCTTGCAGTGGACTGGCTCTGGAACAGCATCTACTGGACCAGCAGTGAGAAGGGCAAAATACGGAGAATCGATAAGAATGGAAAAAACGAAAAGACCATATTACGGCATCTGTCACAGCCGTCTTCAATAGCGGTTGACCCCACCAAGAGGTAATAGTGAAGTTAACACTGCAAAAAAGCATACGTATATGATCATTCTCCCTTAAATGTCAATATGCAAACTGTTGTACCTTAATGTGGACTATTACGGATAATTTTTTGCCCTTTTTAACAATGTTATAGTTGTTTCCCCTCAGTCACTTTACGTGATTTGTGCATGTTTGAGCAATCTTTATCACTTTTTTACAAGACGCCATTTTGTCAATCAACTGCCACTGATATATACCCGCTGCTCAGTTCTTACTTTGTTTTTGGATTTTATTTTCTTAACCGATGATGTCATGGATCCATTAAAATAACTGGATAGGGTGTTGCTGCTTGTAGCTGCCTCCAGTTGACGTAGTGACCACTCACTGGTACTTCAGCAGAAAAAATCCCTTGGGCCGAGAAAGGATTTTTCTCATTCCCTCATGTTCGGCTGACAGGGCACATACAACTTTCAAAAATGTCGGATTTTGTGGTGATTTTTACCTACCGTATATTCTGCACTATAGGGCACTCTGGATTATAAAGTGCACTGTCATTGAATGGTGAATTTTCAAACTTTTTCACATATAAACTGCACCGGACTATAAGGTGCATTAAAAGAAACACAACAGTTAAATAAGTCAGTCAAACTTTATTTAACGCATTCACAATAACTCTCAACTTTGTTCAACTGTAATGTGTAAAAAAATACTGTCTGAGAGCGCTAAATTGTTAGAGTATTCACAATAACTCATAATTGTTCAAACAGTTTACGATTACGGCATCTAGCACGCCCGAATGCCTCTCGTCATTATCCGAGTCAGTGTCGTTACTGTTACCTGGCAGTTCATTGATGATGATTCTGGTCTTGGTGAAAGCTCGGACCACAGTTGATACTGATCCTTAGCCCAGGCATTCATGATCCATTGGCAGATCGCGGCGTAAGTCGCTCGGCGCTGTCTCCCTGTCTTGGTGAATGTGTGTTCACCTTCTCTCATCCACTGCTCCCACGCAGCTCGCAGTTTAACTTTATAATATCCTTGAGTTTAAAGTGGGCGTTCTAAGTGTGTCTCTTGACAGGTGCATTTTAATATTAAAAGGAATCACAGTATGTATTACTCCGCGATGCTCCTGACAACTGTAGCCGTAATGCTGCAAGTGGTGCGGCTTTGTAGTTTACTAAAGTCGTACTAAGACACCCGAATAAATTCATATATAAGGCGCTCTGGATTATAAGGCACGCAGTCGTTTTTGATTAAATTAAAGGCTTTTAAGCACGCCCTATAGTGCAGAAAATATGGTATTTTTAGATCATAAACTTTTTCTCAGCTCAAAATCTTTTAGTTGTCTTAAAAAACTCTTTATAATCGTTAGCTCCGGCTCCGCTCTAGCTCCTCTCGCTCTGATTGGTCAAAGCGATCACGTGATACACAAGACCACGCTCGTACAAATTCGAGTGCACCCGAGGGCGAAAAGAGCATTACTGCGCATGCTCAATCGGCCCAGAGCCACTGGAAGTACCTCGCTAAAGGCTTATCTTATATTTTTGGGGAAATGTATTTTGTAAAATCAGAGACCAGGAACCAACATTTCATCTTGAAATGCGAGTTACAGTAATAACAACAGAATATGTTAACTGTTAATATGTTAACGTAACATATTAACAGTTATTCAGATAATTATAGCAACAACATAAGTTTACCAAACTCACGATTTCACTCCAAATCACGAAATCCATTGAATTTTTCAACCTCCGTGTCACTTCTGTGTGACCTCCGGAGATAAACCATAGATCCATGATGTAAACAGCGCGCTGCTTCCTCTTCTGCATAGCTGTCGTCAGACTCAGGATCAGTTCCAGTTAGAATTATTCCGGCCTTTCTGAATCCCAACAGGATGGTTTCGATTGTCATTGAAGTTCAGGCTTTGTAGCACCCGCCCGGTTGGAGTCAATCACAAGTTTCACGCTCACTCCAAACTTTCTTTCTCCTGCTTGATTACTGTTTTCGGCTGAATATTTCACTATTTGCAGTTAGACAGTGGCTATTTCTACAGGAGACATGCACAGTAAAGTGCGAAGTGACAGTGGTACAGGAGTAATAGTAGTACTAGATACAAACACACGCGCCTAGAGCACCCTCTCATGGCTGTCAGTCTGAACATTTTAATATATAAGACGCACCGGAGTATAAGTCGCAGGACCACCCAAACCATGAAAAAACTTATAGTCCAAAAAATACGGTATATAGCAGACTCAAGCACAATATGTCTTCTTTTAACAATTGCAGGTTTCTCTTTTGGCTGAGCGGTGGATCAAGCGCCAGTATTCAGCGTGCTGATCTCACAGGTCACATGAAAACCACTGTTATCAAAATAAATGGACAACTCAAAGCGCTGTCTGTGGATCACAAAGACAAAAGACTGTTCTGGGTCCAGTTTGGTCCACATGAACAAAGTGCATTCGGCTCCTGTGACTACAATGGGAAGGTTGTACACATCACTGACCACCAGCTTCGGTAAATACACTCACATAACCAATGGGGTAAAATAAAACAAGAGGTAACCAAAAACTCAAACTGAAAGCACTATTACAGCAATTTTCTAGTAGTTTTTTCCTGAACAAAACCTGCATTAATGATTACCTGACTGCACATAACCTCATCCTATAACTTGCAAATATAAAATAATTTCATTTCTTGCAGTTCTTTCTCTCTAGGAGTCTCAATATTTAAGAACAGCTTATATTACAATGACTTTGAAGCTCACGATATAAGAAGAGTTAACAAATATGGAGGAGAATATGAGAGGGTGAACAGAAAAACTCTTGCCAAACCTCCAGTGGACCTCAAAGTCGTCCAAAAACAACCCAGAGAAGACTCGACAGTTCAGTTTTCAAGTAAGACTTGACTATTTTGATAAGGTGTGTTCACTTGTTTACAAACAGGCTAAAGGGATTATTCAGAAAATGTGTTTTTAATGTGTCTAATCACTGCGCCTTTCCACAAAAACAGAAACAGGCATTCACTTATAATTTATTTAAACCCTTTAACGCCTGAATTTATATAGATGTATATAAAAAAATGTTTTATGTGTGTTTTTGCCTTTAAGTAGATGATAATTTGGGTATGCTGCAAATTTGAGACAACTAGAAACAAGTGTTTGCCAAAGGTTCCTAGTGTGACCTTAAGTACCCTTTAATTTTGGTAAAATAGATAATTAGGTAAATACAACACATAAAATGACTAAGCCCACAGGTAAGTATGTAAAATAAGGGCAGAGATGTGACTTAAAATTTATAATTACAATTTATTAAACACTAAAAAGGGGCAAGTAGAAAGGTAAAATTATTTATTCTATAAAAAAAAAAGCCAGGCGGATTGTTAAAATAATAAAATGGCCAAGATGTATAAAATATACTAAAATAAAGATAAAACCCTTGCAGCCCCTGGGCGGAGGAACCAAATCTGGAAAAAAAAAAAAGAAAAGAAATGAATGTTACAAATAAACCAAACAAGGACGACTTGAGAGTGGGTAGCCCCACCCAGAACAAAACAGAAAGTGCTACCATGCAATCACATCTAAATAAATTCCCGGGTTGTACTTTGTTTGCAGTTTGGGATTTTAAGTCATTTAAACTACCTACAACTAAAAGCTAAAAGCCCAGGGAAGGCAATGCTAAAACACGTTTATTAAAAGGTGCAACAGAGCTAAAATACCAACAATTAGCAACACTAAATAGAACAAACTAAACTGTAAAACAACCGTACAAAACAGTACAAAACAAAACCCAAAACAAAACAGTAGCAGCCCAAGAATCTATGATAAAAAGGACAGATTACAATTAAAACCAAGGATTGAAAGCATGTTAAAAACCCTGATTTAAAAAGATACCTGTCCTACCTTCAAAATGTAACTCCTCGAGGTGGAAAAGGTCTGCCACCAGTATAACCTTAGCTCTACAATTATAAAAACCTGTTAAAATCATTTTAAAAAGAGCTACAATAATAAAAAAAAAAAAGGGAGAATGTGTAAAATCTTACCTGACACCAGCCAGCAGACGTTGGGACTGCACATTTACCGCATGCGCTATTTAAGCCCGACCTCCGCTGGCACAGGAAGGTGGTGCCAGGTAAGTCCTTAAAAAAATAAAGCGTTCCTCCGTTGTCCGCCACAGTAGAAAGGTCCTGCATTTGCACTAATCGACACTGGGGGGATGAAGCTGCTATCTCGGCTTATTATCTTGATCCAAATGGTTTGTTGCATATTTATGACAGTTGACGTTAAGGGGTTAGCAAAAGCACTAACTCATGAAGGTTTTATTCAACCAGATTATTGGGACACAATAAGTGAGAGGGCAGAACTAAACTTGTTGAACTAAATTTCACTTTTATTTTTCCTATAGACTAATATTTAGAATTCAAAGGCACGACAGAGACTAAGCATTCACTACTTTAAAGTCAAATTTATTTTTATACTTGTTTTTTATGATTGTATAGGTTGTGATAAACTGAGTGGGAACTGTGTGAATGTATGTTCCAGTCCATCTGAGGACGAGGTCTGTCAGTGCAGTGACGGATTTGTCCTCAGTAAACATGGCACCTATTGTGAAGGTAAGACTTTTAAAATAAATAAATAAATAAATAAATAAATAATATAAATATAATATATATATATATATATATATATATATATTATTTTTATTTTTTTAATTAGGGGTGTAACAATAACCAAAATATTGTGATACTGTATCGTCAAAAGTCTCTCAATAATATTGTGGGCCATCACAATATATCAAATCACAAGTTTCTTTGCTTAAATTCGTGCAGGTGCAGCAATAGCTAAAAAAAGAGGGTTTAGGTTAGGTTAGGTTGCTTTATTCGGACCTGTAAGTAAATTTGTTTCATAGATTTGAGAAACTGGTCCCACATTTCACATTTCACTCATCCACATCATCATCATCAATAAACACCTATAAAACAGTTTCAAAATAAAATGTTTCAGTGCTCCAGTGCAGAATGGTTTGTTCCAATAACAATTAGTTAAATTCTTTCATCACACTTGACTAAAATCACAATAAATATTAAATATATAAAAAACAATTTTTTTCCAAGACAAACATACTAAAATTGATGGATAAATAGATTATAATTTATTCATAAGTGTGATAGCGGCTGGAATGAAGCTCCTTTTAAAACGGTTCGTTCTAGATCTTGGGACTAAAAGACTCTGACCAGAGGAAAAAACCTAAAACTCTGAATTCAGTGGATTTTACATGTCTTTTATAATCCTCTGGGATGTCTTCTCTAACTGTCTTGAGTACAGGGAGTCCAGGCTGCTCTGAGGATGGCCAATCACCTTACTCACCTATTTAACTACATCGACCATGATCCTTTGCTCCATTTTGGTGCAAACTACATGACGAAATAGCATTAAAATTTAGTTCTTTCAATCAAGTCAAGTTGTCAAGGCATCTTAAGAGGAAAAAGTAACATATTCACAATTTTGTTAACCTCCACAAAATATCGCAATAAATCCCGTACTGTGAGCTGTATATCGTCAAAATATCATACCGTGAGATTTGGATATCGTAACATCCCTAATATTTTTAAGTTATGTTTTTTCTTTTTAAGAATTTATAAAAGTTAAAGTCTTATTTAAATTACTGTGAAGAATAATATGACTTTTATTCAAGAAGAAAAAAAAAAACTTTGGCGGTCAATGTTGAATCCTGTTGTCAGTGTTAAAACAATTGCGTCTATTGCAGATGTAAATGAGTGTGCCCACTGGAACCACGGCTGCTCTCTTGGCTGTGAGAACGTCCCAGGATCTTATTTCTGTACCTGTCCTAAAGGATACACCCTCCTACCAGACAAGAAGTCATGCCAAGGTAAATACACAATTATTTGAGCAATATATATTACTCCTGTACAGATATCTTGTATCTTGAGGTAAAAATATGACCGCTGTGTGCTGTCTGGATTGAATCATAACGTGTTTTATTGTCTGATAATCAGGAAGTGGTGTTAGCATGCTAGTTGTTGCAGCTTTACTATTCTTTACGATAAGACTCCTCACTGGTTTCACACACGGTTGTAATAAGTGCTTGTAAACTCGGTGCAGTGAATAATTAGGATTTAGGTAAGTGAGGAATACTTTGGACCACTGCAAACCGTTTAAAATTATCTACTTGTGTTTTTCATGTTTTTACTTGTGCCAACCCGTAAGCACAAGTAAAAATCAGGTACAGAGCCTTTAAGTCGCCTGTCAGTTTCACCTATTGGCATTTGGGTGGCTGCACTTAGTTTCCAGACTTAATTTTGTAAAGAATAGGTGTTGCTCTCTCTTGGTTGTCCAGTCTAGCTGCTGCTCTTAACTCTTTTTGTGGAGTGTGAAAGTTGACATTTGACCCCAGACACTATTTGACCCCAAAGATGTTATAAAAGCTCAGGTCACACGTCCACACAGACTAGACTTGTGTTAGGATCGAACTAGGGAGAGGGAATGTCCCATGCATGTGTGTCTAAAAATGAAGTTATGTCATTCTATTCTCATCCCCCAAGTTCACTTTAAAACATTCAGCGTGGGTCATCTCTACAGACAATGTGTCTCTGTTGTCTAGGCGAAACAAAACAAATAGATGTATGTAACGCGTAACAAAGGAATTTTAGTGGCAAAAGGCGTATAGAAATGTCTCCAGTCAGAAAAAAGTTTGAAAAAAATTGTGCTAAAAGACAAAAAGTTTTGAATTACGTAGTTTTCAGTTGTTACTTGTTAAACCTTTAACCTCACACAAGTACCTCAAAACACCTGAAAAAATCCTCCCAGATTGCTATACTGTACTAATTATTCTGCCCCTGGGGTAGAGTGACAGATGGGTCATTCCATGCCAAATCAAATAGGAAAAGTCTCAAATTTTAGCTCCCTATAGTTTTGTCATTAAAAAAATATTTTGTCAACTCTGCTCTGACCTGTTTTGAGCAGAGTTTTCCAAGGAGCCACTTTCAGATTGCTGTATCTAAAAAACTATTTAAGGTCGGTCCTTCAAATTTTCAAGGGTTAAAATATGGCAAATGTACTTGTAGAAGATGAACTTTTACACATGTGCTTTTGGTTTATCACAGATTTCTGGGGGTTTGAATTTGCTCGAAAATTCTGTTCTTCACATATGAGCACATATTTGAAGGACTGTGGAAAGTGCAATTTCAAAGACAGAGGTTTGATATTGAACATAAACCTTCCCACACATGATGTGACTTTGTATTTTAAAACTGACCATCTGTGATGAACGCTCTAGAACAGGGGTCTCAAACTCAAATTACCGGGGGGCCACATTAGATACAGTCTGAGTGAGGCTGGGCCACATTGAGTATTCGATAAATAGCGGTTGCACGGGAAATGAAGAGAGAGAAAGAACAACACGCAACACACTTTCTTAATCTTTAATAACAGTTCAGAACATGAAAATTTATTTAGAACGTAAGTTTAAACTAATACGTCTACTCTTCTTCTTTTGCCTACTTCTTGCTGGTTGAAACCTAGCTACGCTTCATCTTCCACAGCTGAGAGATATTTGGCTTGCAGGAGGAAGCATATGAGATCCTCAGGATAGATTGAAGATGCTCATCAGTGAGCCGTGACCTGTAGTTTGATGGTGCTTTCACACACTTTCACACTGGTGTGAACGTGAACCCGGGTCCAAACCATAGACAGCAGGTCCAAACGAACTATTCCAAATGCATCATGGAAGAAACGCGTCTCCTTTGCCTGAAATGACGCGCTGTACGACTCCAGCGTAGTAACAGATTGTTGTCCAGACGCAGCCACGATTCATTTTCGAATTATGTTACCAACAATGGCCAATACAGAGAATGTAATACACGAAGATCAGAGCAAGTACGTGCGAACATGTGGCTCCAGAGTGAGTCAAAGTTGGGGTTGTGTACTTCTGTTCAGGACCTCCACAGAGAAGTCCCAGTGTTCCCCGTGATCATGTAGGAAGCAGCATTTGTTATTTTAGGCTTTAATTAACCAAATAATTTCATGGCAATAGGCAATCGCCCATTCAGTTGATTCACCTTTAAAAAATCTGACATAGACACACAAAAATCACTGACATTATTCTTTGGAATTAAGTGGAGGGCCGCAAAAAATCCTTCCGAGGGCCGCGAGTCTGAGACCCCTGCTCTAGAAAATATTAAGTGTTCAAAATCAATAAAATTAATTTGGTGCCATCTTTACCATGTTATACCAAAAAAATTATAACACCCCTATAATATGCGATGTAATGAAAATGATAACGATTAAATAAAATATTAAATCCAAACTATTCAACCATCTAAGGTATGTATTCTGGCGCAAATCTAACACGCACATGTCGTTGCTTAACTGGTCAAACCATACAATAAAACCAATTCACTTTGAAAATCTTACTTGTTACACCACTTCTGCCTCGGGAGCTCAAACCGACGGCATTTAAACTTCATCAGCGCTTGGGGGTTGTGCGTATGTGCAGTAACATTAGGGAGCTCAAATTGACGGGTAGCTCAGATTGACAGAACATAACCACCACTAGCTCAATTATACACATTCATACAAGGGGATCAGTGTCTTGCCTAGAGACACAATGACAGAATTTGGTCCGAGTGGGAATCAATCCTCCAACTTTGAGCCACTGTTACCACTACACCTGTACTTGTACTGTTGGAATAGCATTAGTAAAAGCTAACTTACTTTTTCTTTCACTGATTATTACTACGTTACTAGTATTATAAGTATTATTATCTCCAACTCTTATCTGTAAACTTGTCTTTTTTATGGAGTAATTACCTTTTCTTCCATAAAAAATCCCAAACACAGGTCTAATCTCTCCTGCTGTAATCTGACAGCGAGCAGACAGCACTGTGGGAAACTGACCCAATAAGATTAAACTATGAGGTGACATTTCCTATGGGAACATATCTGGTCAGCAGCTTTATCTGCATAAGCTGTTTAGAGCACAGCCAGTCCCAGCGCAACACACACAGTCAACCCACAAACACAAGTCACTGTGGCTTTACTTAACGAGATACATAGCAATGTAGACAATTTATGTCAAGGGTCTAAGGATCTTATAGACAACTATAGATTAAAAAGAGCATCTGCCAGCCTATTCAAAGCTTCCTGGCACAATGAGAGGTGGGTAGAGTATTGACCTTGTTCCACCCCGCCCACTTTTCCCTCTAAATGCTATAACCACGCTCTGTTTTTGGCTGCACATCCGGGTAAGCGGGAATCCCATTCATTTCAATGGAGAAACTGAGAAAAGTTTCTCTGCTCAAATGAGTTAATACAGTTTGGCATGCAAAAAAACTAAACAAAGCAGAGATTCTGTTATTTCTAAAGAATAGACACAAAAATTACAAACAAATCATATCTGAAGGTAAGATGTAAGAGGCGCAAATGTTTGAATCGTTTCATTCTGTCAGCATAAAGCTTTGTTACTTATTCACAGTGGAAAGAGTAACCAAAACTTTTACCCATGTAAGAGTACTATTACGATGTAAAATAAGAAGTAAAAGTGAAAAGCTACTCTGAAAAATACAGAAGTAAATATGTAAGTATGTGTATGTAATGCAAATGATCATGTAGAAGGTTGGATGGTTTCCACAAGATTATGATTTAAAGTGTCCACTCCAGTTTTCACATGTACAGTATTACCATGTCTCTGTGAGCTCACAGTGCATCACACAGTTTACTCAAGCCAAATGACTGAACCTATAATCATACATAAATGACTCTAACATGCTGATCGTGTTTTGTATGTTGTATTTTCTCTGCAGAGATCATAGAGTGTGACAGCAGCAGACAGTGTGGGAGTGGCTGTCTGGAGGTAGGAGGCAGGGTGGAGTGTGTGTGTCCAGAGGGTTCTGTGCTGCAGGAGGATGGACAGGCCTGCACTGGTAAGAGGCCTGGACCAGCAAGTCATATGAGTGATTATTTTGGGGGAGCAACCTGCACTACTTACTTTAAGTGTTAAGAAAATTGTGGAATATTAAGTGCTATTTGAGCTATATTCATTCAGTTTATTGGGGTAAAATTTTTCATATGTTTTAGTTTTTTTTATATGACGGTGTTTCTAAGCGGGCTTGCTTGTTTGACAGGCTGCTCGTCTGCAGACAGAGGCGGCTGCAGTCAGTTGTGCTCTCCTCTGAACTCCAGCGTGAGCTCTGGGCTGTGGCAGTGTGGCTGTGTGCCTGGATATGAGCTACATCAGGACAGGAGACAGTGCACTGCAGTGGGTGAGACACATACAGTTTGAGAGGAGACACACGTGTATACAGTATGACAGCAGAGACAAGAGATATAAAGATTAAACTGTGCTGTGCTCCTGCAGGCCCACCTCCTCTGCTGCTTGTTGCCACTTTAGTGGATGTGCGGAGGATCCATCCTGATGGAGCAGGAGAGGAGGTGCTGCTGTCAGAGACCACAGGGAGAATCACAGCTCTGGACTATGACCCAGTCCACAAGGAGGTGAGCTCCTAGCTGCAGTTTTTTTTTTTTAGATACTTACAAGAACACTGTCACACTGAGTTTTGACACAGCAAAAAAGCTGCTGACTTCATTGACAATATCAAGACAAAAATAAGACAATATATTATATATTTTATATTATGATTTGTAGATGTGTAAGGTGCGCTCTATGCAAGTAGTTTAGTACAGAGCGATAATGACCCCCAGTGGGCAAAACCGGTAATAACTTGTCCTGTACTGTTTCTGTTTCTGCTTCTCCTTTATCCTTTATTTCAGAACTTTCTGGTGTTTTTATCTGATTTAATTCTGTGTTTACTGAGTGTAATATGTGCATACTTGTAGATATACTACACGAGCACAAGCCGGAGGAGCATAGAGCGTGTGAGTGTTGAGGACAGCTCCAGACACACTGTGCTGTCTGAGGGAGTGGAGTCAGTACAAGGTCTGACCATAGACTGGCTCCAGCGCATCCTCTACTGGACTGAACAGAGGTAACACTCTCTACATAGATTATGTCCTGTAAACCAAAACCAAAACGATACGACTGGGCTAAGTGGAGAACGAGAGACAAAGACTAATTGACTATGAAGACACTACTGCTCCACTTTGTTTACTCACTGAATGACTTTGAAAAACTGTTGTTTCTTTATGTATCTTCAGCCAATCCACAATAGAGTGCAGTTTGCTGACCGGACTGAGAAGAGAAACAGTCGTAAGTGAGGGGCTCCAAAAACCAAAAGCCATTGCAGTTCATCCTTTAGTGAAGTAAGAACCACTCGCTGCAACGTTTGATTAAAACAAAACAAAAAAAATTAAATGCATTTTCTGTGTCTCTTGTTCAGGAGATTATTCTGGACAGACGTAGGCTCAAGGCCCGTGGTGGAGAGTGTCTCTTTAGACGGAGGAGGGCGTGCGGTCGTGGTCAGAACTAACCTTATCTCTCCCAGTGCCCTGAGCTTAGACTTCCCAGAGGAGCGGCTGTGGTGGGCGGACAGCGGCACGGGGCTGGTGGAGAGCGCTCGGCTGGACGGGTCACTGCGACGCACCCTGTCAGAGAAACAAGTAGGTGAGGCTCCTGTCATAACATCTACACAACATGTTTAGAAATTAGTAGAGGAAGAGAGATCACAGTGCTATTACTATTTTACTGTGCATTAGGGTTGAAACTAACACATTTTTATTAATTGACTGGTCAAGCGATTTTAAAAAATTGTACACTGAGAGTTTTGACAAAATAAAGGTTGAAGGTTAGTGAATGAAAACTTCTACAGCGAGAATATTTATGAATCTTTTTTGAAACTTTGATTTTATAATGCCGGTCTTAAACATGTTATAAAACATTTTGGCATGTGTTTTTGAGTCTGTATAGTCCAGATAACAACAAATATCAAAATACTATTGCAATTATTCGACGAGTCATGATTCTGATTAATTCTTTCAGTTCCACTATGCATGACTGCTGTGTAATGACTGCTGCTAGTTTATAGGCACAATCTGATTGATGGAAACCTAAATAACCTTTAATTCATTTTACTGAAATACTGTATGCTAATAAATTTGACAATAACTGGTGTACCACTACTCCAAAAACATTTTATTACTGGTAGAGGTGCTCTGATCCGTTTGCCTTGATCAGCCGTTACTAAACAATATGATTATAATCGAATTACTTTTTTGCCTTTTAACTTATCTAAAGAGTTTTAAGAATGGCATATTCTAAAGATCTAATAGTTTAGTTTAGTTTATTTATTTAATGAGACAGCGACAGTGCACAATATACATTAACCTTAACAGGAGAGATGCATTGTACCAGGTTGTAAGTGCCAGTGCTAATTTCCTGCTATTGTCCCTGGGCAGGCTGATGTTATAATTCATAAAATCAAACATACAAAGAGAATGTCTTTATAATGACTGGAGCATCATAACAATTCTGTATCATCATGCACTCCCAGTTCTCTCAGCATCTTAAAAACATCATCCTTATCAAAAGCATCATTCAATTCATTCACTCCAGAACATCACTCTGTCTTCACTCATCAGTCCACACTATGGGCGCAGGTTTGGATTGAGAGGATTCACTGTTTCGCCAGGTGCGAGAATGTGCCATAGTTTGTACATGTGATCAGCTCAGTTGGTAACATGTCCCACTGACGGACAGCCGCGCATGAAAAGGCTGAATCTCCAAATGCTGTCCTGTAATACTGGATTATCACATACTGTGTGATACACATAGCCTGATTCATCAGTCTGTTTCACTTTGTAGAAACCATCTGACCTTGCAGTGTTAGAATTCGTTCGTTCGACGGTAGGCACATACTTTTTATCATTTAACCAATCGCTGCTATTTGGCTGTGAAGTATGTAATGCGCTGCTAACTGGGCAAACTGGTATATTAGGCAAGGCAAGGCAAGTTTATTTGTATAGCACAATTCGTACACAAAGTAATTCAAAGTGCTTTACAGAATAAGAAATACATTAAAATCATAATAAAAACAAAACATAAATAATCATGAAGATTAAAATTAAAAAGAGAGACATAAATTGAGAGAAGAGTGCGGAATGAAAACCTTTCAGTTATATGCACAGTTAAACAGAAATGTTTTTGAGCCTGGATTTAAACAGCGTCACAGAAGAGTCTGTCTCACATGTTCAGGAAGACTGTTCCAGGTTTTAGCTGCATGAACCTGAAACGCTGACTCCCCTTGTTTAGTCGTGACTCTGGGCACCAGCAGGAGGCCGGTCCCTGAGGTCCTCAGAGTGCGAGATGGTTCATATGACACTAACATGTCACAGATGTACTTTGGTGCTCGGCCATGGAGAGACTTGTACACAAGCAGAGCTGCTTTAAAGTCTATTCTCTGAGGCACAGGAAGCCAGTGCAGAGACCTGAGCACAGGACTTATGTGCTCGTACTTCCTAGTTCGAGTAAGGACCCGAGCTGCAGCATTCTGGATGTTCTGCAGCGTCTCACAGCTCGTTTGGAGAGACCAGTGAGCAGACCATTACAGTATCTAACCTACTGGAGACAAACGCATGGATAAGTTTCTCCAAGTCTGCTTTAGACAGTAAACCTTTGATTTTTGCTATGTTTTTTAGATGGTAAAAGGCTGCAGATGTTATTGATTTGATGTGGCTGTTAAAGTTCAAGTCTGAGTCCATTATTACCCCTAGATTTCTTGCCTAATTTGAAGGTTTTAGAGAGAGAGACTGGAGGTGACTGCTGACACTGTCTCTTTGTTTTTGTGGACCAAACACTATGACTTCAGTCTTGTCAGAGTTTAGCTGGAGAAAGTTGTTTTGCATCCACACACTGATCTGTTGGATGCAATGACCAAGTGAGTCCACTGGTGCATAGTCTCCTGCTGCCAGAGAGACGTAGATCTGAGTGTCATCTGCATAATTGTGGTAGGACACATTATTGCTGCTTATTAACTGGCCTAATGGCAGCATGTAGAGATTGAACAACAGGGGGCCCAGGATTGACCCCTGAGGCACCCCACAGGTCAGGGCCATGTGATCTGAGACACAGTTTCCAATTTCAACAATTATATTAAGCTTTTCTCAAATCCTGTAGGCAGAAGGGCAATAAGGTCTTTCCCTTTGATGAAATTCACAAAACATTCTCTTTATTCCAGCTTTAAATCCTCAATCTTGGGAATCATTGACAACACTGAATATATGGCTCTTCAGTGATTGGCTGGTGCCCGAACTTGCACTTCCGGGGTTTTTGCGAACCATCTAGTGTATTTTGATTCCTGACCTAGTTGCTGGAGAGAAATTAAATTGAGCGGAGGCACTAGGTGGCACCAGCCTGGCTATGTTACACAGGCTCACAAAAATAAACATTATAAGACTTTGATGATATCAGACTTAATCTGTTTCGCCCCAGCTCAAGTGTTTGGCCTGGCAGTGTGGGAGGAGCAGCTGTGGGTGTCTGAGCAGGAGCAGCATCAGCTCAGGAGCTTCCACAAACGCACTGGAAAGGAGCTGGAGCGTCTCCATAGCAACATGGTACAACCGGCGAACATCGTGGTGTTTCATCCCGTCGCAAAACCAGGTGACAGAACCGAATACAGCCAAATTACATAAATGATGAGTTGGTGCAAAGATAGTGTTTTATATTCCTGAATAACTCCATCCCTGGTGTTGTGTTTGCGGTGATCAGGAGCAGACGTGTGCCTTCATAAGAATGGAGGATGTGCTCAGCTGTGTGAGAGCAAACTGGGGACGGCTCTCTGCTCCTGTCTGCCCCACTACACTCTGTCTGCAGATGGGACCAACTGCCACCAGGGGGAGACAGCCAACAATATGACAGGTCACTGCCAGTGGTTTTGCTTTTTTTGTGTGTAATTTATACAATAGATGCATCAAGAATTTCGGACTTCCGGTCATTGCGCAATGCATGCTGAGAAGGATTTTCCGAAAAAAAGAGCATCAAACCGCCATGTTTGATTTTACAGTGGGATGCGTCTATTGACAAAGCCGATCTTTTCAAGTCTTTTAAACCATACTTGCTTTTGTTTCTGGTTCTGATATTGTCATATTTACCTCCGCCAAGGAGGTTATGTTTTTGCCGGCGTTTGTCTGTTTGTTTGTTTGTTTGTTTATTTGTCTGTTAGCAACATAACTCAAAAAGTTATGGACCGATTTTGATGAAATTTTCAGGATTTGTTGGAAATGTGAAAAGGAAGAACTGATTTCATTTTGGGGGTGATCCGGAAGAAATCCTGGATTCTGGATCACTTTGAAATTGTAGTTAACATTGTGGTAAATGGGGCCAAAAATTTTGTTTCTCAATATCTCGGTTAATTATTGACCAAACCCAATGAAATTTGACTCAGGGATGGACAATGGGATCCTCTTTCATATTCCAAAGGTTGATCCAGATCTGATCCAGAAGACTGATTTTATCGCAATTTATTTAAAAAATGGGGGTAGTCCTTGGCGGAGGTCTGCGCCAAGGTGAGTGCTTTTCTAGTTTGGTTTTGGGATTTAGACATTGTAATTGTGTGGTTGTTGGATGTCCTAACAGCAGAAAACGGCTCGAGAAATTTGTTTGTGAACTCCATAAATGCAAAAGAGAATCAGATGTGTGTGACTGCAAACCTCAGTTCAAACTATTTCCCTTCCCAACGGATTTGAAAAATAGTGAAAGTGAAGGCGATGGGCAGTATTGATCCACAGGAAGAACGAAAAAAGGAAACCTTTGGCTGCCTAAATCATCCCGAGTTTGACACGAACATTTTGTATGTGGAGCATCAACAAAGTGGGATCCCGTTTGTTAAGCGAGAGGTGCAGAAGACAAACAGGCTGAGCTCGTACTTTCTTGTTCTTGTGGTTTTACAGCAACATCACGTCTTGGTCTCTTTGCAGTGGAAGTTGTTTCTTGGCGAACAGCTGGTGCCTTTCGCTTTGGCATTGACTTTTTTAAAGCATAACCAAGGTGGAGTGAGGGACATCCAACAACCACACAATTACAATGTCCGAATCCCAAAACTAAAATTTGACCAGAAACAAAAGCGATATGGTTCAAAAGACTAGAAAAGATCAGATTTGACAATAGACACATCCCAATGGGAAAACAAACATGGCGGTTTGATGCTCACTTTTTTGGAAAATCCTTCCCAGTATGCATTGCTCAATGACCGTAAGTCCGAAATTATTGATGCATCTATACAAATGGCTAACATTGCACACCTCTAGTTCTTAAATTAGTTTTTACTGAAATAACATACCTTTATATTAAATTTATATCAAATAAAAATTATTGTTTCTTGAACCTATCTTAAAAATGTATGGACTAAGGCTGTGCAATCAATCAAATTTTGATCACGATTTCAAATTGTGTGTCAAACGATCTTCAAACTCAGTTAATTGAGTTGAAATGACAAAGCTTAACAAAGTTTATTTCGGGATATTTTTTGTATAAATACGTTTATTTATTTTATTTTATTTTATTATAGAGATTGTAGAACAGCTGGATAAACAGTTTATTTTTGATATATTTATGTTTTTCTATGCCTTATTTCATGTTTAGAGTGATATTCTATTCTTTTTATGTTTTATACATCACAAAATTGCTTTCAGTTTGGAAGTTTTGCATCGGTTATCAATAACAAAGTGTGTTTTTTTTGTTTTTTGTTTTTTTTGAGAGAGAGAGAGAAATGCTGAATAAATGCATCATGTAATTAAAGAATAATCGTGATTTCAATATTGACCAAATAATCGTGATAATGATTTTTTCATAATCGAGCAGCCCTAGTATAGACTATTTATTAGAAGTATTACAAAAAGGTAAAATAAGTTGAAATGACACAGCAATATGTCTGTTTTAAATGTTTATAAGGAAAATATTTTACTGTATTTGTTTGTTTCATTTCAGAAAGCCAAACCCACAGTGAAGAAAGCACTACTGTGATAAGTGAACTTGTGGAGTGTGACAGAGAGCGTCGATTTAGACTCCAGCACTGGCACTACGAGCAGCCTCTCAGACAAGATGGTGGCAGGTAACATTATGAAAACACAACTGAATCAAGCTCCCTGTGGTTCAAATGTATTCAGCGTCTTTGTGTCACAGATGAGCACGAGTGTTCCTCCCTCCACTGTGATGCCAATGCCCAGTGTGTGCAGACAGCAGGGGGCAGTGTTTGTGTGTGCGCAGAGGGCTTCACAGGAGACGGGCGCCTGTGTCTGGGTGAGTAAATGTGAGGTGAAATTAATATTAATATTAATACAATTTTTCTACTCCAAAAGAAGGTTATGGGGATTATTAATCATGTAAATTACTCCAACCAACAAATCCTCTTTTGTTAAGCTAAAAGTACTTAAGATTTTTTGATCTTGTCGACCTGAGTAGCTACAGCTGCAGTGATGTACAAAGCCTATAATCATCTGCTTCCTCCTCCAGGAATTATTTGAGCAGAGTCAGTATAACCTTAGAGGAACATTTACCTTAAAAAAAAAAAAAATTAAGATAAGAACTAAGAAAAAAAGTGATTGTATTTCGTTTAGAGGGGTTAGTATATGGAATAACCTGAGTGTTGATTTAAAGGGCCCATCTCATGCAAAGTAACTCTTTTCACATTGTATCTTCTGCACATATACAAGCACAATCCATTACACAATAGTTATGAAATCTTACTGATTTCTTGGAGACAGTCACAGACCGGGAACTATGAAAGACCGGCTATTGCTCATCCCCCGCCCGTCCTGAGAAAGCACAGGCTCCACCCTCCAAACGTGACGTAGGCTCTGAGTGAGCCGCCCTTCCTCCACCCATCATGTATCCTGATAGCCGTAGGAATAAACTTTTATTCATCATGGTGATACAGCGCGTTCAGCCGCATGTGTTGGACCCGGAATCAGACGAAAACTTGGAGGTGCACGAAGCGCAAGCACCGTGTTGACATCAGCTGAATATTACTGATCGGTAAAGTGTTAATAAACACTAGTAGATAAACTTATTATGTCATGTACACTGTAGTATATAACTATTAGCTTATGCTGTCGCTTTTGTTTAGGTGTTCATGTGGGAATTGTCAGCCTATGCGGGGTGGAGGTGGGGCGGAGGCGAGGGAGGGGGGTGGTTGTGAAGTGCCTTCTGCTGCGTCAAACGCCTCATAGTTGTAGCTGCAGCATCATCTTTGTAGCAGCAATTTGGTAAAAACATACACACATATACAAGGCCCACACATCACTCTTAGAAGGTAAAAAGCTCAGAAAAGTTGATTTTGCATGAGATGGGCCCTTTAAAAAAGTCTAATACTTTCGAAGTCTTTAAAAAAGGGTATAAAGTGTTATGTTTTGAAAGATATAGACCTCTGGAATGAATGAATTATGCATTCAAGTTTGTTTGTTTTAATTAATATTTTGTCTCTTATATTTACAGTAAGTCGCAACTGAAATTGTATGTTAACTTGCTGTTTTCTTTCTTGGAATTCTGTCATTGTTTAATAGGGTTAGGCATTATAAGTACTTTTTACTTCAGCCTAAACCCTTTCGGTCATGATCTACAGTGTGGGATTGTAGTCTATGTTTTGTTTTGTTTTCTAGTGCTGCAAAATGACCGATTAAACTACTACTAATAAATTATGCAAAAGTGCTGTAACTGTGCTGAAGTTTGTTGTTTGTGTTGCTGTTTCAGACATAGATGAGTGTGAGGCTGCAGTGAACTTATGTGATCCAAATGCACACTGTGTGAACACTGAGGGCAGTCTGCTCTGTCGCTGTCACGCAGGATTTGAAGGGGATGGTACCACTTGTAAAGGTGGGTCTCTCTAATGCTGTTATGGACTGTTATTTTTATAATATGTTACCCCAATTTTAGATTTTTTTTAAGCTTTGAATGGACTGGCCCCACAGTACGTCTTGGACCTCATCCAAATTGACATTCCCGTGTGTTCTCTGAGGTCCAAGGGCCAACTCCAGCTCTGTGGCTGGCCCTTAACTCTGGAAGGCTCTGTCCCCCCATGTCTGAACAGATCCCACAGTGGAGAGTTTTAAGTCTTGACTTAAGACCCACTTTTATTCTCTGGCTTTTAACACTGTCTGAGTTGTGTGGTCCTCTGTGTCTTTTATTTGTTTTATTTACTTTATTTATTTTACTTAATTACTGCTATTCCATTCTGGTTTTATTGTTTTATGACTGGTATGACAAAATTTTTGCAATTTACCTTTTGGTGGTCTTTATTTTATGACTTTGGAAACTGCTTTGTTTGTAAAATGTGCTTTAGAAAAAAGTGGATTTGGATTTTTAAGTTACACTATGGGCAGCCAGCTACTGGAAAATACTGGGTGTGTATATTTTTCAGTGTCAGGCAATTTGAATCTTTGGTTCAATCTAGAGTAGATTTTTGATTCAAAATTTATTTAAATAAGAATTAATTAACAATTTTGTTTAGCTGGTTGTGATGTTTCAGAGTTAGACAAATGAAAAGCAGAGAGGAAAATAATGAATCAATAAAAAAAAAAAGATAATTCCAATTTGATGTGATTTGATTCAAGGAATCAAGAGAATAATTTGGGTTTTCTTTTCCAATCCAATCCACTTCATTTCTATAGCACATTTCACTAACAAACAGTGTCCAAAGTGCAGAACAAATACATAATAATAGCAACAATAATAAAATTATTAAATAAATGTTCAGATTTAATCATACTAATTTTAAAATAATAAAACCAGTAAAATAAAATAAGCAAAATCATAGAATAGCAATAAATACTAAATGATTAAAGATTAAATTAAATAGGCTGTTCAGGTCATAAAAAGAGGTAAAAGCAGCAGGGAGAGAACAAATCTATGGGATCTTATTACGTTAATGGGCCCGTCTCATGCAACTTTTCAGAGCTTTCTACCTTCTAAGAGTGATGTGTGGGCCTTGTATATGTAGCCGAAGTGGTTTTTAGATTGATTCGGCATTTTTTAACAAATTGCAGCGTATTTCTTCCACCCTCCCACGTGAAAACGAACTAAAGCTGCTACAATGATGACGCGGAAGATACACCTATGTGGTGTTTGACATAGCAGAAGGCACTTCACCACCGCCCCCCTCCCCCGCCTCCACCCCACATCGGCTGACAATTCCCACATGAACACCTAAACAAAAGCGACAGCATAAGCTAATAGTTATATACTACAGTGTACACGATATAATAAGTTTATCTACTACTACTACTTTATTAACACTTTACCAATCAGTAATGTTCAGCTGATGTCGACACGGTGCTTGTGCTTCGTCCGATTCCGGGTCCAACACATGTGGCTGAACGCGCTGTATAGCTGATGAATAAAAGTTTATTCCTACCACTATCAGACCGCTAAACGGGTTGTGTGGCTGCAGGGCTGTACACTTACGCCACAGGGTGCACGCCTGTCTCACAGGAGCCTGTGCTTTCTCAGGACGGGCGGGGGGATGAGCAATAGCCGGTCTTTCACAGTTCGTGGTCTGTGACTGCCTCCAAGAAATCAGTAAGATTTCATAAATATTGTGTAATGGATGCTCCAAAACCCAAATTGTGCTTGTATATGTGCAGAAGATACAATGTGAAAAGAGTTATTTTGCATGAGATGGGCCCTTTAAAAACTTGCTAATGTAAACTGGCATATAATTTAGTAACATTTTAATTATCTCAGGGACATAAACCCTGCCTTATTCAGTTTTTTTTTCATGGTTATTTATTTCCTTGTCTAACATTTCTAGCGGTAGCAACAGTCCCTCCTGTGGTCACCAACATGACTCCAGGACATCGCAACAACACTGTGGTTGAGAAGTGTCCGTCAACTCACGAGTCCTATTGTCTGTACCAGGGAGTCTGCTTCTACTTCCCAGACATGGACTCCTACGCGTGCAAGTAAGTACAGAGGATATTTGTACTTTGCGCCCAGTTAATTACAAGTAATAGCGCTCTGATGTGAGTAAATGTTTTGGTTACGTTTCCCCACTACGAGAAAGTGAATAAGTGAGTTAATATGTGACAAAAGCATTATGTAGGGCTAGGCAAATGACAAAGTATTGTAATTTATTGATTAATCCTGCTTTTCAATGTTATTTTATTTGGCCTTATTAATAATAAGTGAATTTCATTATCCTGAAATTAAAGAAATACACTTTTTGTCATTGCCATTTGACAAAGTAATAGTCTTTCTTCCTTTAAAGTCTTTACTCTGGTTCAAACTAAATCTCAAAAGTGTGATTATTAAATAGCTCCAATATACAGACAGTTCAAATATGTTCAAATCTTTTTTGTTACTTTTTTGTGATTTTTTTTTTTTTTTAACCAGAAATAGGTAATTATTTGGGTCACTATGTTGTACTTAAAGTTAGAATTTTCTTCCCATATCTCTGTTTTCAAGTGCTCATTTAATAGTTTTGACCGCCATTACTACTGTCAACCATTAAGTGTCAGTATTGTGCCATGACTACCGTAGTTAGAGATCAAGTTTTCATTTAAATTGTATTTTTTTCACTTAAAGAAAACATAACTAACCTTTAACTAACCTGTGTGTCAGCTGCGTGTCGGGCTACATGGGCGAGCGCTGTCAGTTCAGTGACCTGGAGTGGTGGGAGCTGCAGCAGGCCGAGGAGCAGAAGAAGAGGAACGTCACTATAGCGGGCTGCATGGTGGGCCTCATCTCCCTTCTCTCCATCGCTGCCTGCGTCACCTACTGCTACGGGTAAGAGACAGACCACAGTCAGACTCTACCAGAACTACTTTTTTATTGAATTATGAAAACAGGACATGGTAACTGGTGGAATTATGTCTTTATCTAATTTATACCAAGACACAAATCAATAAAAAATAGTATACAGGCTGGATACTTACATATTTAAGTGCACTGTGTTTCTGGTGAGAGGTCCATCTTGCTTTTATTCAGTTACAGGTATGTTTAATCATACCTTGTAAATCAGACAGTCTTACTGAAGCAGGGTTGCCTTGCCACAGACCTGACCTGTGACTTTGCTTGGTTGTCTGCTTGACTCCATGACGGTAGAGAATTCTGAGGAACATTCCCGACGAAACACCAACAACTACAAGAAGAAAAGTTACATAGCAACAGGTTACATAGTGAATCAAATTTTAAGGTTCAAATTTGTGTTAAAGAAGAAAACGATGTCCGCTGCAGTTCTTTGAAGCTCCCAAGTTTTTATTTCAATGACACATCTGACGTCTGATGTCTGAAGAACAGCTTGACCCGGAATCATGGAAATAAAAATTTGGGAGCTTCAAATAACTGCAGTGTGGATCTCTTTCTTTCTTTCTTTGCACGATTTTTGTCTTTGGACCCAGCACGCACTTGCAGTTTTTATTGAATGTGCATGGCTCTATTTACCAGTTTTGAAATTTGAGTTGTAAAACTTTGCAACATAATATAGAGATAAAAATGTTTTTCTCAAAATCAAAATTTAGTTTGAAAAGTAGTGTTTATGACCAATAAACTCCTATGTAGTAAATATGTAATAGTTGTAAGTTCTTGGTATAAACTTATAATTAGTGGTGGGCGATAATTACTTTATTTACTATGAATCTCTTTTTTTTTTGCGTGATCTTGTTAATAGGGATGTAACGATATCCAAACTTCTCAGTATGATATTTATTGCAATATTTTGTGGACACTAAGAAAACTGTGAATAATACTTATTCCTTTTAAAATGCCCTTGGTTCGGTAATAATCTAAATCACTAACATTTAAAAGTTCTTAGAACAGTTATTTCTTCATGAAGTCTGGACTCAAACAGAGCAAAGGATCATGGTCTATGTAGTTCTGTCTGCGTTTTTACTATTGCTGCACCATAATTATTCTGTTTATGCAATGAGACCTATAATTCGATATATCGTGGTGGTCCACAATACTACTGAGAGACTTTTGACGATACAATCTCACGATATTTCAGTTATTGTTACATCCCTGCTCATTAATGATGAGGCAGTATTTTTCACAATGCATCAGAAATGGACTAAAATGTGTATATTTAATAATGACAATGAATAAATCCTATAATTATTGGCTCCATATATGCCGAAGCACATTCCTAAGTTTTGAATCTACCTTGATAAAGCTGAAATCAAAAATGTAGTGTGACGTACTGAGGATCTAAAAAGAAGAAAAAGAAGAAGGATCTAGTGACTCATTCTAACCTGTTATAAATGCACATTATTGAATTTTTCACTGTACTGATCAATAGTCTACGTCCCTTGATCGCTCCTCTGCATGTGGACACCCCGCTGTACTACACGTTTCTGTTCCAATTTATTTTCTATCTATTTGTGGTCATTTTTAAACATTTACAGAAGATATACTCAATATTCTCATTTTTTAATATTCCCTAAAACAACAATTGTGATCCATTTTTCAATCGATCCTCCTCTAACTGTAATAATGTTGATATCTAAAGAACTCGGAAGTGTTTTGCGAAGAAGCTCCCAGACGACGGCATGAGCGAGACCAGCGAGACGGTGGAGAGCATGTCTGTGACCACCACTTCCAGTATGCCACCGGTAAACAGCTGTATTCACTATTCTAAATCATAATATTATTTTATTTATGTTTATTAAGGACATTAGAATCGCATTAGACAAGCCAGATGCAGATACAATAGTTACATACAGATAAGATATAGCGTTTTACATTTTCAGTGAGGGCATTTTTGGTTGGAAACATACAATAATTTTAATGTTTTATTAAATTTGTTGTTTTTGGCTTCTAATTTTAAATCAGGTGGTTGCACTTCCACAGTTTGGCAGAGAAAGAGGACTTAAATGAAACAGAAAAGTTCTTGTAGAGGTGCAAATGCAAGGAACGGCAAAATAAAAGTGAAAAAAAAAAAAATGCATAGCACACTCAGATGGCCGATGTCCAAAAGCTTTTTTGTTTTATTTTTAAATAATGTTTTGGTAAAAAACGCCTTCGCCAGATCATTTTTTTTGCTTTGGACCACAGTACACAGCAGAGAAAGAGACAGACCAAGGGTCATCCTGTACACAGGAACAACACAATTACCACTAGTAGCATCTCTTGTGTTAGCTCTGTTTATGGTCCTGGCAAATTCTGAATTCAGTGGTGTATCACAGTTTAGACACTTAAAAATAATTTAAGATTATTAAAATTAGTCAGATAAATTTTCAAGGTGTAAAAGTTATGGTTCTTTAAAATTTCACAGTGGTGCCAGATAGGGATGGGCATTTGATGAAATTTTCTTAATCGATCGTCAGAAGAATTAACGATCGATTATCGATTAATCATTAACGTTTTTATATTAAATGATCATCATTATTATTACTATCTGCACTACTAATCTGCATAAATAAATTCAACTTTACGACATATAAACCGTAACGACTCTAGAGCCACATCAGCCCGTTTGACATTATTAATTATTAAAGTGTTTAATTCAGTTCTGAGCAACTTTCACAGAAACGAAACTTAAAACCGCATCGCTAATTTGCATAAACTCAGCGAAGATTAAAACTACTGCTCTTGTGCGCTGATGCGGTCAATTTCTGTCAGATTAAAAGACATGATTCAGTGGAATACAGGTTAGTGTGACCATATTTGCGTTTGTCAAAACCAGGACACCGTACGGGAGGTGGGAGAGGTGGGGACTCGTCATCAACATTGCGCGACTCTCACCTGGTAAAGCTTTTTCCCACTGGACACCGAAACATATGTGCTGCTTTGTACACTGTGCACATGGACTCACACTTGTCCTGACTGGAACAGAAAGCGTGGACTTTCTTGTACAAGTCATCGTTAAATACGCATTTGTGCTTCGGTACGTTGCAGACTGACCGAATGTTTGTGTTTGCTCGCTCCTTCTGAGTGCAGAGAGACACATGTACAGACCCCTGTTTGGTCACGCTACACACAGCAACCTACATTCGGTTTGTCGATTAAAATTAACGTTATCGACGAAATTCTTAATGATCAATTATCGATTAATCATGCCCATCCCTAGTGCCAGAGTTTGTTTTGTTTTTTTTGTCAAAGATCTTAAGGGTGAGTGTGTAAAATGAACAGAGTGGTTTCAGTGTGGTTGAGGAGACCTGAGACCATGAGGTGATACAATAAGATTGATTTGAAAAGATCATTGCATTCATGAATAGTTTTGAAGTCTGGAGACTCTAGATCTTTACATATAAAACAAAAGCATTTGAGACTAGTTTTAATCTTCTTTGTTAAGTATTTTGTGTGACTGATAAATGTCACTTTTTCATCCAGGCCAAGGTATTTAACTTCAATGACAGTTTTCTTTAATAGTCACCTCTAGGGGTGATATCAAAATATCCATATATCGTATTGTTTAATGTGATGCTACAGTATCAGGAAGGAAACTCGTTTATGCGACACATTTGACATTTTCAATGTTTTGATGAGTAAAATGGGTGTGTTTCTGTTAAACTTCACACACGACGTGGTTTAACAAAGACTTTTGGTGTCACAGTCATGATTTAGCCTTTATTTTTTACTGAACCGTATCAAATCGATTTGACATATATCATATCGAAGTGTAAGCTCACTGTATGGAGATATGTATCGTATCGACAACTTCTTAATGATACCCAGCTCTAGTCTCATGTCTCATCAAAGTCACACGTTTTGTTTGTGTACTCACTGAAAAACAGAGAATCTTTTTTTTTTTTATTCAAACTCAAGCGTTGTAGTAGTAATTGCAATAGTATACTGAGAGATGGTAAGACAGGTAAGAGTGTATGTTATGTCTAAGCAATGACAAAGGCTGCCTTACAAAAAATTTAATAAAAAAAAAAAAAACACCTCTAAAATAAAATTAATGCAGCTTTAATGAATGCGTGAGGTAAAATGATAAAATATGTTCATTTTGTAATTCCAAATGAGCTTAAACGGACCGGTCAGAGTCAACCATATGTGGTCAGGGAGCTGGACAATGCCTAGGTCTGCTGCTCTAAGCCCTTTTGAAACCTGCTATTAAAGACATAACCTGCTGCTTTGATCTTCAGTTTTCCATGACAACGGAGAGGGAAGTATATCCAGTAATGGGCTGTTCCGGAAGAGCTGTCTGCCCCTCCTGCTCCTCAGAACCAGGTAACCAACAGGGCTGCAACAATTTACTGGACTAATAATCGTGACTGAACCATATTTCAATGTTTATTTAGTCAAAAAAAGCACCTAAAACCTCATCAGGCTGTGTTTGCTAATGGGTGCATTGTGTTACCTTGGCAACTGCTGAACATTCCCCAAGAGACATACAGTAAATGCACCCCCAATGTGATCTTACTGCAGAGTATCTATAGAAATAATCATTTGAGTAGTTGTCTAATCAGGAAAAAGGAGAAAATAATTGTTGGTTGCAGCTATAGCGCACAACACGTTTTTGCTACTGCTGCAATTTGACAATTTTGGCTTTCTTCTGCCAGGTGACAACTCAGAAGACTCCGAATTATATGCAAAACACAACAGAGGCTATGAATGCTCCATACTGTCTACCGTCGCCATGGAAACTGACCACATCCCTGTCCGTCAATCAAGTCCAGCGTCAACCTTCACGACGTTCAAGCCTCACCAGAAACCACACAGCCCAGAGCCCCCTGCAGCCTCCTAGCTACAAATGACTCTAAACCCACAATGCACAAAACTTTCAAGTGCATATGACAGGTTTCAGTTTTTTGTTTTTTTTGGTTTTTTTCCCCCTTGTTTTGGTGGGACAGAAGTTCTAGTAAACATTTATCGTAGTTTTACATCAGTTAAATTCTAAAATGGGACACACATTGGTTGAGACGTTTGGTATAAATAGCCTAAAATTGTGAAAAGAGCGTCAAACATTGTGGACTTTTGTGTCATAATCTGAGGGCAGTGGCGGATGTGTTTTTTTTTTTTTTTTTTTTTTTGGGGGGGGGATTATAAATATATATTATTAATATATGTATTATATATAGGCTATATAGTGTTATAACGAATGCCAGAAACAGACAGTCATTTTGGTCTTATTGGCTGAACTATCAAAGCACAAAACACAGCCAAAAGCAAACTTGACGCAGCAGCACAAGATGATCCACCGCTCACGGCCAGCCCCAACAGTGTCAAAACTAAAATAAAGATAAGAGAATACGGTCACAACACATGGAATCAGTGCCGAACACCAGAGCAGCTCCATCGCACCCACTAGCTCATTTACGCACTATTTACCTGTGAGATTCCATCCTCAGACTTACCCAAAAATAACGAAAACAAGCCTCTTATCTTCTCCAGAGGACTGAAGCAGAGTGTTTCCTGGTTCTGTTTCCAAAAGTGTATTGTCCAATATGAAGAGATGAAACTGATCCAAATCCTGGTCCAGTCAGGTCCGTGACACGAGGTCCGGGAGCCAAGTGCACGAGCTGGTTGTAAAACGAGTCTTAATCCCACTTCCCACTTAAATCTGAAAGTTACACCTGTCCATATTAGCACTAGGGCACCTGTGCGCTATGCTCAGGTGAAACTTTTACACCGAGAAACAAGCGAGCAGAGGCGGACAGAGCAGCGAAGATGACCTCTTTCGGTGGAGGTCACGTGTTTCCGGTCTAGAGTGGAGCTCCACTTTCCCCACGTGTCTGCAGCCAGACCCTCTTGTGGCAGCGAGCGGGTCCTGGGTCCCGGCGGCGGGGCTCTCCTCGGGCTTTACCGTTGCTAAGGTCACTAGCCGCCATGTGCGAATCAGAATAAGAGCCGTAGTATCTCACTGCAGCCAGAAGCATTCATTCCAGCTTAATGCTTCTTTTCTTGCTTCGTTGAAGAGAATATATTTTACTCCCTAAGACTGTTCCTCGGACGTACTTTGACTTGAAGTTGAACTCTCCATAACTGTATAGCACACAGCTCTGTTGTTATCTATTCATTAGTCTGTAGTAGTAACATGCCGTCAGTGTGACAGTGTGTTAATGTTTATTCAGAACAGTCACGTGATTTCGTGGCTCACCCAAGACGTATTTTAGGGCTAATGTATTTTTTTATTTTTTTTTTTAATATACAATGTTATATACAATGGTATAAACAAAAACATTGCTGGAGGCTCAAGAGTTCATATGTTCACAGGGCTCAATATGCGCAACATCTTCATTAATGACACATTTACGCAGAGGGCTAATGGAACGTAATGGGCAGAAGCAACGTAATGACGTCAGAGTTCCTCAAAACTTCAGGCTTTTCCATAGAATCTCCATTAAGCCACTCCGACTCACATTCTAAACACATGACTCAAATAAAGTGATATGAGCACATTTAACGTGATAAAAATAAGTCTATGCAGATACATGTTCAATTTTAAACAAAATATTAAACATATAGCCTAAAACAAAATAACGACTCTCATCTCTTTTCATCTCATCTCTTTGGCTCGTCTGCGGACAACACGCCCGGGCTCACAGACAATTATTCAATAACTGAACACTCATGAGACAAAAGTACACACCTCAGCTAAAAAAAAGAATATTAAAAAGCTAAAAAGTTTATTGAGGTCTGGGTCAGCTGACTGGGGTAGGACAGGTTTATAACTTTTCAGAAAAAAAATAAAAATAAAACAATCAAGTCGGACTTAGTAAAGAAAACGTATTTAAAAATAAAGGACTGAGACTCAAAAGTGAAATCAAAGGAAAATTAAGTTTATTTGAAATTTCAGTAAATCACAAATCTGGTCACAGTCATCAAAAAAGAACACCTGGTCTACGGACAAAAAAAAAAAAAAAAAAAAGCAATGTATTTGTAACCGGGGATTTCAGTTAGTTCTTTGTGAATATTGTGAATCTGGAGGTCTGGTTCTTGTATTCTCCAGCAGATGGCGCCACTGCTCTGGGCGACGCGGGGTACTTGGTTCTTAGGTTTTCCTCTGTAAAACTCACTCAAAAGTCAAAAATTTAAAAGTATAAGTACAAGTACAAGTGCAACCTGTGGAAATTATGGTGTAAACATTTAATCTGACCCACATTTAGACCAGATCAGACCAACAGAGACCAGCAGTCTCCATAAACGTGACCCAAAGTTTAGAATATGACCCACTTTTGGACCAGTTTAGGCCTAAAACTAAAGCCTGTAACATAAAATCCTCAGCATATTCAGGCCTTGTTTTGAGATGATGATTCACACAGAAACGTCACCTACCTGAGTTAAAGTCTGCCTGGACAGACCAATAAAACAAAGAAAAAGTTAGAAACAAAATTACAAAACACTAGTGTATTTCAGCAAAACAGTTTTAAATTCACCTTTGGGTTTTTGGGGGAAAGCTGACTGAAGCCCAACCCAACCCAAAAAACAGAGAGTTTATGTAAACTCTTCCAGCAAGGTGCTCTGGATCAATTCTTTCATTCATTCCATATTTTGGAGCATAGCCTCTGATATAAGATTTTCCATTCTTCTTCTTAGTTCTTGGGTCCTTTTTAACTTCAGATGGAGGCAAACGTTAATTTTTCACTGGTCAGAAGCACTCTTTAGCTTCTATAGCAGTAGTAGATATCACAGAGCTGTTGTAAAAGGGTTAGACACCAACATATGGCAGAGATGTTTTAGCTTTAGCTGTTTTCAAATAAAATATAATAACATCTGCTACAGTTGTCACAGATGATTTTCATGTCTCACAGTTGCAAGACACAAAGTAGATTTAGCTTAGATTAACTATGAACTAATGAACAATGATAATAATAATAACTAGAAAAGACCTCCGCCAAGGACTACCCCCATTTTTTATATAAATTGCGATAAAATCAGTCTTCTGGATCAGATCCGGATCAGCCTTTGGAATATGAAAGAGGATCCCATTGTCCATCCCTGAGTCAAATTTCATGGGGTTTGGTCAATAATTAACCGAGATATTGAGAAACAAAATATTTGGTCCCCATTTACCACAATGTTAACTAAAATTTCAAAGTGATCCAGAATCCAGGATTTCTTCCGGATCACCCCCAAAATGAAATCAGTTCTTCCTTTTCACATTTCCAACAAATCCTGAAAATTTCATCAAAATCGGTCCATAACTTTTTGAGTTATGTTGCTAACAGACAAACAAACAAACAAACAAACAAACAAACAGACAAACGCCGGCAAAAACATAACCCCCTTGGCAGAGGTAATAATAAACTGACGCCTGTAGGAGGTGTTAGAGGACACCACCCAAACCTGCAAACACAAATGAAAAGTTAGAAACAAAATTACAAAATACTAGTGTAATTCAGTATTCAGTTTTATATTCACCTTTGGGTCTTCGACGGAAAGCTGACGGACGTTCAACCCAAAACACACAGTTCAGGTAAACTCTTCCAGCAAGGTGCTCTGAGTGCAGAACAATTTTCCTTAATTATGCACTTGTTTCAGTTCTATTATTACCAACCACCCCAAACCGAGAGTGTCTCAGTTTTTGAATTAGAAAATCTAGTCACATTAGTTATTCAGTTTCTCCAAATTTGGACCAGCCCACACCAAATGCAATACAAGGACCCAAAATCAAGTGCCACCTGTGGAACTTAAACATTAAAATCTGGTCCACATTTAGACCAGATCAACCCACAAGAGACCACACAGTCTCCATACAAGTGTGTTTAGAATATGACACATTTGGATCATTTTATCCCCAAATCTGAGCCATTCAAATCTTCAGCATTCAGATCTTGTTTTGAGAGGACACAAGGTAAAGAATAGAGGTTTTAGGATTTGAGGGTTACATCATGACCATTGGACGACTGGATGCATTTTGTATGGTTTTAAATGTCCAGGATAGATGAGAGATTTTTATTTTCCAAGTAGTTTTTTTTCCCATTTGAAACCTTTGATGACACCTTTCCACTTTTTGCATTGCACTTGTTTAAATTTGCATGTTTGAGTATTTTATGGCAGGTCCTGTTCCATCCTTTTATCGTTCATGTGTGGAAAGTGATCATTTAATTCCCACAAATGTACTATTCATTTCATTCTGTCATTATGTTCCAGTTCATTGACCCAAGCTTGGTGCACATTTATAAGCCTTTTCATTGCAATTTGTTACATTTGAAAAACACATTTTTCCCCCCAGTTTCACTCTTTTTGATAAATTACATTTTCACACATCAAAATATCTTGAGATTTTATTTGAGACACGTTTTGCTTTTGTTTCATGAGTTTTGTTTGTGGCATAATTTTATTGACAAAACCTTTTGCATTTTTTTTAAGGCCTTTCTGTAAGTTTCCTTTAACCAGACAGTTTCAGGACACAAGGCCGCACCTTCATGTTTCCTTTTATAATCCACCATCATGTGAGTGAGCCATCATTTAAAACACATCCACAGAGTGAAATAAATTTCTTTTCAACGAAAGCATCATGATCATTTGAAACTCATCACATCATCGCTTTATTTATCTCAATCCACTTTGCACATTGCAAAAACATGAATCAGAGCGCAGAACTCTGCACCAACAGCAGCAGCAGCAGCTTCATTCATCAAACATTTACAAACCAACACATTTAAATTATTATTGCATGATTCTAAACAAACAAGACTCACCTGGACTCGTAAGACTCACCTGGACTCGTAAGACTCACCTGGACTCCTCCGTGCTGTTTGTCGTGCTGATGGTGATCCACACCGCCTTGGTGCATGTAATTAATGGTCACGTTGTAAAATACAGACTATGCTTCGATGGTGAATAGTAAATTAGCTGAAAGTTAGTTGGCTTTGTCGAATTAGCTAAACTCCTGGTAAATTTCCACATTTCTTGGCAAAATATAAAATATGCAGTAGTTCTTGCTATGTACCAGCAGTTTCAATTATTGTTGAGACATTTTAAAAGTCACAAAGTGGTTTGCATTTGTAAAAATTGTTACATTAAAAGACCTCCGTGTACAGAGTTCACGTTCATTCTTTGGTTCACTGACTATATATATATATATATATATATATATATATATATATATATATATATATATATATATATATATATATATATATAAACACATATAAAGACATTTTATTTTCACTAGAGTCACATTATTCATGGTTCTTTTTTATTCATAGTTCATTTTAATGGTTGGCTGGATTAGATATGACATCACGTCTTAGAAAATGGAAATAGAAAAAGTATCCACCAGGGGGCAGCAGACAGCAGGGTTAGGGTGAGCTCCTGTCCCTCTGGTGAGTGTCCTGCACAACCACTTAGGCCCATGACCTTTGTCCCACTTAGAAAATGTCTTATAATTGATGAGCCTTGAATTATAGTGCAACATGAATCATTTATATGTTATATTCACTGCCCAATCCACGAGGTAAAACCTCACCACAATTTAAAAAATAGATTTTTTTTTTTTTTTAGTAAAAGTATGTTTTACTGAAAAAGTCCTCTAAACATATGCACTTTAAATTCCTATGTTTTTAACCCTAAACAATATTACATTTGTTTAACAAACATGCAATAAACTTGCAAAATCACAAATATCACAAGAACTCATCTTTCTGGTCAGGTAAATAAATGAGCAACTAGACAGATTGATAAATAGAGCTGAAAAAGTGTCTCAGCAATTGACCAGAGGTGAACCACAAGATTAAAAACCCTGTACCTGATTTTTACTGACTTAAAAACATGAAGAAAATGGCCTCATTCATTTTAAACAGTTTACAGAAGTCCACTGTCATTCCTCACTTAAGTCCTGAGCATTGTAGCAATGAGTTAAAAAGCAACTTTTACAACTTTCAGAGAACAACAACTAGCATGCTAACCACCTGATTATCAGACAATAAAACTCTTTATAATTCAGCGCAGACAGAACACAACAGACTTATTTTGACCTCAAGAACTGCTTACAATATATCTAATCATCAGGTACAGGACCTTTAATCTTTTTTATGTTAGTCTAAAGAACTATATGAAATAATGGCAGCTATTGTTTTGTAATGATTGTATGTTGTTTACAGAAATGTCAGGGTGCTTTTCAGACCAACAAGTGTGCTAAATACAGGTGACAGGGCAGGGTTTGACAAATGGTTCAAATGAAGAAAGGGAATGTAAGATGCATTAAAAAAAAGGTAATTACTTTATAAACAGTGTGGTGACTTCATTTGTTTTAATGGTTTGCAAGGAAATATTGCAGCCTATTTCTTCTTAATAAAAATATAAGCACAAGGTTACCCAGTAAAGACATTATGTATACAGTATATATTTTTAAATGGTTTATCGGTTATTGCCAGTATCGATGATATTGGTATCGGTCCGGCATACACCGCCCCAGTCTGTCTGTGATCATGTGTCATTTGTCTTTAGTGCATCAGATTTGTCTTTTTGAACAGACTCATGAATTTATGTACCAGATAAATACATTTCAACGTGACCTAAAATTGGTCCTTGCCATGGATTTAAAAAGCCTAATATTGATATTGGCGAAGATCGTTTATCAGCCACAGCAACAGGCCAATTATCAGATATTGGGAATGAGTCAAAAAAAGTTTAAAAAGCTGGTCAGAGTTGGTGTTCTCTGTCCACAGTTCAATTTGTACTTGTTTATGCACGTGGTGTTTAGGCATATTAACCATTTTCCAAGTTAACGTCATTTAGTTCGGTGGCTCTGCAGGTTATCTATGTCAGGTCATTCTCTGGTGGTGGACGTCCTCTTCTCCTCTTCCTCTTCTCCTCCTCTTCCATTGTAACCTTTGAGAAAGAGCTGCTCCACAATGAGGTCCAAACTGCAATGAAAGCCTGAAATACAAGGGAAGAAATAACAGATGACAGCGATTTTCTTTTTGTCTTTATACTGGGGCTGCCCTGAGAATAAAAATAAAAAAATTAAGAGTTATTCGCAATTATTGACACCATGACCAAACAAGAGTGAATTAATTTAAATTGTTAATTGTTACAATTCCTTAAACAAGGGAGGACAATTATTTTGACCCTCGGCATAAGTAAATTTCTGTGAAATATGGGTAGTAGTGGGTAGTAGTCTGTTTCTACACTTTAATACTTTCCAGCTGTCAAAATGCCCAGGTCTGCTCTAATATGTGACAGCTTTATGTGATAAACTTTCTGAATGATAAAGTACAGAAGACAGTTCATGGATGTGATGTTATTATACTTATATTATACTCCGTCATGTGCTCCCAGTGTTCAGTAAGAATGCATCTCAGCTACTATAGTTTTATTATTTTTTTGCCATAATGTGATGTTGCTGAAGATTCTAAGCAAAGTGATATCTTAAGACAAGCAGATGGCAAACATGAAATCCAACCTGAAAGTTACACAGTGCACCTTAAAAACAGTTCATATACTTTTAACAAAATAAAACAACACTATATGTAGAGTAACTGATAACTAATGGTCACGTTGTAAAATACAGGCTATGCTTAAACTTGTACAGTGAATTATAAATTGTCTTATTAAATCATTAAGCTGAGCTACCTGCACAAAACCGAGTTCATTCTACATTTCGAAATATTGCGATGTTCATTGTCATTAGAATCTCGTTGTTCATGGCTCTTTTTTTTTTTAGTTTTCATGGTTTCTTTTAATGGTTGGCTTAGGAAATGAGTGCAAAAGTATCCACCAAGGGGCTGAAGACAGTGGGTTAGGGTGAGCACCCGTCCCTTTGGTCCTGCACAGCCACTTAGGCCCATGTCCCTGCGACACGAATGATAAAAAGTCACATTTACATTTACTTTTTGGTGTAGGGTTAGGGTTAATTGATTAAAAAAAAAAAAAAAAAAAGCTTGTCCACAAATCACAAAATCACTCAGAATCAAAAAGTAAAGATAATCAAAGTCTTTCATTATGTAAGAAATTTATTTAATTTAACAACAATGACATTTATTGCACATTTGCTCTATAGGTGGAGGCGCAGGAACATAATTTAGCACAGTCTATGTCATATGTACACACAGTTATTGGACTTACAGAGCGTAGTGCCTATTTGAAATTCTGTGTGGACTTATTTTACATTGTGTGACTGAGTGAAGCCTAGATAGAAGCCCTTCTTTTGGTTTAAACATGGACATTTGTTCATTAACGGATTCATGCTCGGATAGGACACGTTCTAAAGATGTCCGTGCCCTCCACCAGACCTTCTGCGCTTTCAAAATGTCGCCGCAAGCTAAAAGTGAGCACCAAAAGAACATGTGTAAGCAATGTCAAGTTCCAAGACAAAACCACAATGTCACAATTTGCACTTTGTTCATACATGTAGCTTTTTCAGTGTTTTTTTTTTTTTTTTTTTTTTTTTACAGTAATACAGTGCAAATGTACGTGAGCACGACAGACAGTTAAGGATACATACAAGTTCAGTACAGCTACTTTGACAATAGCATGGTTTGGTTTTCATCTTAAAATGGTTCCGTTTCAGTCCTTCGCATCTACAGACTAGTCTATTTACTGAGGGGGACCTTAAAGCATCTATAAGTCAGAAAGTGTTTACGTATACTCAAGCCAACAAGCGGGGCAAAGGCTGGAGTTTTTGAAGTACCATAATTTCCTCCTTCGGCATAAAAACGGCAAACCCCGTAGTTTAAACAAGTTCCGAAATGTGATTCTTGTATTTGTTTGTCGAGTCTAATTCCAATGCTTGTCTGAAATCGGGCAGGCCTAAAGTGTGTCTATTCCTCGCAACTACCAATTCAAAGCCAAATATTCAAATTTGGTCAAATTTTTCATCACGTTTAGAGATTTAGCGATAGAGTTGTAAGAAACGTCACTTCCAAGTCCAAGTAAAAACTTCACAGCTGCTTTCTCGATTCGTTTTTGGTCCTTTTTCATCAAACAAGAGAAAATTACCTATGAAAAGCATGTGTTTAACCATGAATTCTATCAAATATATAAATAATGCAGTAACAATCTAGCCATTGTGCATATTACCTCCCTCATACAATTTCTGTCACAGTTATAACCATAGATCATGCTTATAAACTTATAAGCTTTAAACACCTGGAATCTCTTCTTTGCAAAATGTATCTATGCTATAAACAAAAAAAAAATGTAAACATGTTCATCGTTTTCAATCAGCTGATGAACTCGGAAGTGACATCACACCTAACAACTCTATGCAGTTTATGTGCAGTGTTTTTCGGACTATAAGTCACACTTTTTTCATGGTTTGGGTGGTCCTGCCACTTATATATAAAAAATTTCACAGACAGCAGTGAGAGGCTCTAGGCTTGTGTGTCAGTATCTGTTGCTCCCATTACTCCTGTACCACTGTCACTTGGCTCTACTGCACATGTCTCCTGCGGAAAGAGCCTCTGTCCTGTCTGTATCATGTCAGTCGATCGCACCATTACTTCTGTACCACTGAAAATTTTAAAATTTATAAAGACTGAACACAAACGCATCCAAAAGAAAATCATATTTTGCAGATAACAAGCTGCAAGCAGTGAAATATGTGAAAACTGTAAACAAGCAGCAGAATGAACAACCATGGTGTCACAAGTTTCAGTCATGTGCACCATGCGACTTTTCGAGAAATCACTGGATGGATCAAGAAAGCAGGGACTTCAGGGACAACCAAAACCATCCTGTCAGGATTCAGAAAGGCCAGAATAATTCTAACTGGAACTGATGCTGAGCAGAAGAGGAAGCGGCGCTCCGTTTACCTCCAGAGGTCGCGGAGTTGATCAGAAGTGACACAGAGGATGAAGAATTCAGTGGATTTAGTGATTTGGAGTGAGATCAATAGTTTGGTAATATGTGATGTTAACAGCCTGTTGTTCTCTGTTCTAATTATTATTATTACTATAACTTGCCTTTCAAGGTGAAATGTTGGTTCCTGGTCTCTGATTTTACAAAATAAATTTCCCCCAAAAAGTGAGACTTACAGTCTGGTGTGACTTATAGTCTGAAAAATACAGTAAGAGGAAGTGAACAACAACTGGATCACAAGTAAAATACTCAAAGTACAGGTAAACACAATCTGAAAACCTTTCAAAGTACAGTTGGCAATATCTGTAAAGGCAGGTTTCCCATCAGGCCCACAAGCAGAGACATGGTTTAGTTCATCTTTCATACACGTTGTCACTACACAACCTCGTCAGGATGAATAAGCCACTATGTAAACTAGCCTAGATGTTAAACAGACCTACGTTTTCTTGATATGCATATTATATTTAGAACCTATGACCTGAGAAAACATTGCCTTTTTGCAATGTAAGACACACAAATGCAGTGCCGCTCACCCCATCAGCTCATGGTTAGACAATAGACTAAGCCTTCAGTGTCTCAAACTACTCCACTGATTCTAAAAACACTAAAGACACACGCACAGGACAGATGACGCTACTGACTGTCAGCTTATCTTTACAAGTCCGTTTTATCAAGTGACAAGATGATGGCAAATGAAATATTCTAGTCTATCTATTCTCTTCATTTGTTTTTTTTTTGTTATCTTAAAAACTTGTTTTTCAAAGATTCAACATTAATTTATATAAGACCTTTTAATAATATGTAGATAGTTCGGCTACTTCGCAATTGTGGTTCTAGTTAGTTCGCTCCTTACCGTAGAGTGTCCTCACGTGCCCAGTTTGAAGAAGTTTTACCATGTGATACAAAAATGTTTAACTATTTCGATACTAGGAAATCGACTCGATACTCAATACTGATTCTGATACCACAATGATAATAAAAAACACTTTACACAACAGAACGTAATTTTTAACATAAAATAGTATTTTCTTCACCATGTCGCGTTATTTGTGTAATCCCTCAGTGGTCCAGGTAGGTTCCATAGTGGTCCATGGGTGTATGCTAGTCTATGTGCTCTTAAACTTGTTGCAAAACAGCTCAAAATGACTCTAAAACTCTTCAGCAAATGTTCATTTCTTTCCTGTGAATGTGACTTTTTTGGTATCGATCAAATGAGTATCTAATTTTAGTGTCAATTAGAATCAGATTTCCGATAATCAAGTGCAACGTAGTCACAATTTTACTGTTGTTGTAAAATTTCTCACTAGATTTCTGTCAGACGATTTAAGTATGATGTGCAGGTTTGCAAACTGGGAGTGTGTTGACAGTCTACAGTAAAAACAACTCAGACCTTGATACAAATATACCCTTTAAAACAAGTCATGATGGCTTTTTATCTTCATCCACCTATAGACTTCAGACTCTGTAGGCTTTACATCTGCGCATAAACAGCTCAAGCATTCCCTTCAAACCATTTTCTTCATATTATTTCTCAACTAAAACCATTGTTAAGAATTAAAGTCACTGGTCCCCTATCTCCTTATGGTCCCCGGTGGTCCCTTTCCTTCCCTGTTGTAAGCTATGGCATCATTTAGTCTTCTTTCTTGGCGATTGTGGACATTTTCTTGGACTTGGTCATGTAGGCCTCGTAGAAGAACTGCACGAAGAGCACAAAGTAGCTGAGGTACATGAGTGAAGACCAGACGATGTTCTGCATGTGGGAGGGGCACTCTTGGCCCTGTTGCATCCACGAGTAGACCAGGTAGTTGACCACGCAGCCCATCAGCATCTGGGTGATTTGGGTGAGGGTGATGAACATGGCGAACTTGCGGGAGACCTTGAAGCCGGCAGCTCTCAGGGCGTAGTAGGAGTACATGACGGCGTGCACCAGGTAGTTCATAGTCATAAACCAGCCCCCCCCGGCCACCATGTCCTTGTAGGAGTACCAGGAGTAGAGCAGCACCGTGATGTGGTGGTACCAGTGCAGGAAGATCAGCTTCTGCTTACGGAGGACGATGAACAGAGTGTCACCTGTGAGCACACACACAGACTTTAAAACAGTGTACTTTATAGAACACATGAAATATAGGCATGAGTTAAAGTAGAAAAGAAATGTGTGTAAAAGTCTTATTGTTGTTTGTAATACTGTATTTTTCAGACTATTTGTACTTTTCATGGTTTGGGTGGTCCTGCGACTTATATATTAAAATGTTCACACTGACAGATATGAGAGGGTGCTCTAGGCTTGTGTGTCAGTATCTGCTACTCCCCATTACTCCTGTACCACTGTCACTTGGCTCTATTGCGCATGTCTCCTGCAGAAAGAGCCTCTGTCTTGTCTATATCATGTCAGTCGATCGCACTATCATTTCTGTACCACTGAAAATTGAAACAAACTTATGAAGACAACTGAGAAAACTGAACACAAATGCCCCCAAAAAGAAAATCAGTTTCCAAAAAAGGTAATCGAGCAGCAGAAAGAGTTTGGAATGAGCCAGAAACTTGTGACAACCGGGAAGGTGCACCATGCAACTTTCTTGAGAGTCATTGGATGGATCGACAAAGCCTGGACTTCAGTGACAAGTGAAACCATTGTGTCAAGATTCAGAAAGGCCGGAATAATTCGTTCAATTTACCTCTGGAAGTCAAGTTGCTTAGAAGTGACACCGAGGATGAAGAATTCAATGGATTTAGTAATTTGGAGTGAGATTGAGAGTTTGGTAAACTTATGATGTTTATGCTATAGTTATAGTAATAACAATAGAATAGAGAACAACAGGCTGTTGACATAACATAATAACATATGAACAGTTATTCAGATAACTTGCTTTTCAAGATGAAATGTCAGTTTATGGTCTCCAATTTTATGAAATTAATTTCTCCCAAAAAAGTGCAACTTATAGTCAGAAAAATACGGTACATCAGTATAGATAAGTAGGTTGTGTATTGTGTTAGGACTGCTTCTTTTGGCTAAATAATTGGAGCCTTTGAGATGTGATACTAATTATGCCAAATCAATGAGACATTTGAACGTGATTGGAATATATTGTGCTGCCCTGGTACAAAAATATATTCTGGTAAAGAAAAACTGCATCTTCTGAATGTTGTCTAAAGAAGTGCATGTTAGCATAGTAGTTGTCATCCCAGCAAAACTCTGGTCTCAGTGTTGTGAAAAGCGCTTATAAACTCATTGTGATGAATAATTAGAATTGGATAAGGTAAATTAGGATTAACTGTGGACCACTGCAAACCATTCATAATGAACCATTTAAGACAGCAAAAATCTGGTACAGCGCCTGACAGGAAACAAGAAATGCACTTGTATCACGTTCTTTACTGTAAGAAAAAGAGCCTATTGTGTGTTCTGTTCCTGTGTTAAACATAAATGACACACGATAAACAATATCAAATGCATTCTGAATGCACTTACCGAGCTCTGGGGCTTTACTAAGAACAAAGGCATAAGCCCAGAACTTGCTGACTGGTCCATTATAGAAGCTTTGGTCACAGACAGACTGTTTTAGCCCTTTGGTCATCAGGATGAAGGTCATATAGCTCCCTGTACGGATGGCACCAAATATACTGCACGAGAGGAGACATTTTAGCTGAAAAGGCTCAATAAAACCGATATTACAGGATTTATTCAAGCAGAGGTTACCTGAAAACGGCAAGTGTGAGGGACCATAGCACCAGAGGTTTTCTCAGCTCAAACTTCTCCCTTTGCTTCATGACATGGCGACCTCCCAAGATAAAGGCAGCGTACAGAGCCGAGAACAGAAATGATTTCTTCCTGTACAGACAAAAAACAGAATATGTATTATTAAACAGTGTAATACATTTGAATAGGTCTTACACTGATGATTGATTTGACCTTGACATAGCCTTGGCAAAACGGAGGGATTTGTTGATTTAAAAGGCCCAGTACCTGATTTGTTTCCATGTATTTGAGCAAATTGTCTCGTCCCAGTTCAGATATTTTGTATAAGATAAAAATGCCTGCTGTGTCTTTCTAATTCAGGCATGTCCAAACTATGGCCCGTGGGCTAAATGTGGCCCTCAGACAAATTTTTCTTGGCCTTCAGGCTTCCAGGTGAATTGGTCCAAATTACCTTGCATCAATGAAAAATTAACTTTTACTGCAAGTTTTTTTTATTTTTTTATTTACCTTGATAAAACTAATATTTAATATTTAGTGTGTGGTTTTGAGGATCTTAAGCATGAATAAAGACTGATGGCTCATTCTAACGTGTTAAACACACACATTTCAATGATTCACTGTATTGAGCTTCAGTCTATGGCCCTCGATCGGCCCTCTGCTTCGTCTGTGTTTAGATATGTGGCCCTTGTTAAAAAAAGTTTGGATACCCCTGGTCTAATTGGTTAGTAAATCATGTATTATTTGTGGTAAGTGCTTAGTTTTTAGTTCACTCTCACCCAGCATATGAAGTTTCTGTACCCTTTTCCCGAGGCGTTCGAGCTAAATTTGTCATGCCCCAGGACAGATATAATGTTTAAGCAACTCTTGAGGTCAAAATCGAACTAGAAAGCATGTTATTACCTCTCAAAGTTTTGAAAAGCCCTTATAAAATCATCACAGTGAATAATTAAGATGTTTAGAATGCATAAGGTAAGAGAGGAATAACTTTGGACCACTGCGAACTGTTATGAAATGATCTAGTTCTGTTTTGCACATTTTTAAGGCAGTAAAAATCAGGTACAGCAGCTTTAATGCTGTCAGAGAACACCACTGGACCACATAAAGAGGAGTTGTTGTGCTGAAGCATCGGCTGGCACGACAGAATCTCTCGTTTCCCAGTGCTGAGCCTAATTAAAAAGTGCAGGTGGTCTGACTTGACAGATTGGATGCTGAATAAGCCCGAGCCAACACTGGGGAATACCACTTTGAAGCACAACAGCAAAACTGCATTTGGTCATAAGGCAAAGTCATTGAGAGACTGAAAAACAGATCTGAGGCAAAGCACAGCTTGTAATAAAAGAGCTGCAAGATTAAGTGCAAACTAATCACACAAAAACTGCAGTTATATTAAGGTAACGCGTGGATGGACAAAACATACCATTCATTAAAAAAAAGTCAAATTTAACATGACAATATAAAATAATGTCTTTCAGTATCTTGGTTGAGGTTCAAGTATCGTGTCTTTAAAAGGTGCATTACGTAGCTCCACTAGCTTGTTTACAAATTATTGCTTTGTCTAGAATGTTCCACAGTCAGGGTTTCCACTTTTTTCACTGACAAAATTACAAAACTTCCCCATGACTAAAGTGAATTTTCCATGACGTTACGGCACCCTACATGTGTAGAATTGAATGGTGGACTCTTATAAGTATTTGGGAACTGTGTTTGATTCCTCCCTAAGGTTTGAGAAGAACACTGAGCAAATTATCAAACGAGAGCAGCGGGTTCACTTGATGCGGAAGCTCAGCTCTTTTGATGTGTTGCCTAACATTTTAAATAATTTTATCAATCCTTTATCAAAAGTTTGCCGACCTTTTATTTGTTAGTTTTATGGTTATCTGTGAAGGACAAGAACAGTCTGAACCAGTTAGTAAAAGTGTGCGGCAAAATCAGTGGTGTTCAGATGGAGGATTTGGCCTTTGTGTGGAGAGAGACATCGGGTGCTCCAAAAGACTAAGGCCACACTGAGCCAGACTAGCCATGTACTGCACTCACAGTTCGTGCAAATGCCCTCTGGGAGGTGATATGTCACCCCACAGCAAAAGACCAACCGCTACGCCAAATCTTTTATTCCTTTTGCCATAAAGCTTTAAAATGGGAAGTGAATTGCTATTGTGTCCCTGATGCACTGAGGTTTGAATGTATGGTGTCCGTTTTCTTTTTTTTAATTTATAGATTGTGCACGACCAGAGATGTGCAAACTGGATTGCCCTTTGGGATTAATAAAGCTGTTGATTGATTGATACTAAATATGAAATGTTAACACTTTCCACTCACCTTATGGTTTGGTATTATAGTTTTTTAACATTCAAAATACTGTCAATGCATTTATTGTCGTCTCTTTTAAACAAAAGGCACATACATTCAGAAATAATCATAATAGCCTAATGATAACTTAACAGAAAGCTGTAGTTGCGTGAAAGAGATACTAAAATTCCATGATTACCATGATCGTGGGAACCCTGCACAGTATGGCATTAAATGATCTTTCATTTATTCAATTACTGGTATTTTTATTGCTAAAATAAGACAAAAAAACATCAATTTTTACTGGCCTGGAGGCTTCTCTCCATGGAGATTGGCATTCTTCTGAATATAAACAACATAGATGAATGCAATACTTAAAAAAATTCTAAACAAAGCATCTCAAGTAGGAGACTTTTTCTTTCTTTTGGGATGGACATTTCTAGGCAAAGGGCACCACTGACAATATAAACAAACATCACAAAAATATCCTTATTTTGATGTTGCATTATTAGTAGGGATATAACGATGTCCAATTCTCTCGATACGATATTTCTACAATATCTATGCAGCGGTACGATATTTATTACGATATTTTAAGGAGGCTTACAAAACTGAATATGCTACTTTTCTTTCAAAGTCCAAATAATTAAGATTTAAAAGTGCTTAATAACAGCAATTTAATCATGTAGACTAAGTTGAAACAAAGCAAAGGATCATGGGATATGTAGTTCTGTGTTTTTAGTTAATGCTGCACCATAACAATGGATTAAAGAAAAAGAAACTTATAATTCGATATATTGTGATGTATAGTGACGATGTTATTGTGAGACCTTTGACGGTACGATATCACAATATTTGGGTTAATGATACATGCCTAATTATTAGATCTACATAACTACACATAGAGCTAATTTTGTATAACTCCAAAACAGCAATTGTATTATTATCCCCTTGCGTTTCCCACTGGTTCGTCAAGATATACTGTACAAACCAAAAAATACAGATTCACTTTCTGGGTTGAGAAATTACACAAAATCCACGACATAAAAGACCCCGCATTCCAGGCCGTCTTTCTGAGCACACAAAATCTTACACAGACAGATTATGACAGTTCAGATGCATCAAAAGCCCACTGTCTGCGAAGAAAAGAAGCGTTTGAGGAAGCCACGGATGGAATGAGACCACCTCCGCTCAGAGCAGAGGACAGAGGAGGGGAGCTGCCTCAGGAGCCAGCCAATGGGACTTCAGTATGGAGGGGGGGGGGCGCCTACAGTGGACATTATAGCACCCATTCGTATGGAAAGGTCAAAAGGTCACACACTTCAACCTGGGACGCCGGGGGCTATAGCGCACCAGCTGGCGTGATAAAAGTGGAATAATCATATGAAGCAGTGAACACAGTGTGACAAAGCTAGTTTATGTAGAATTAGTTTAAAATGTTGGCAATGAATTTTCTTCAGAGTTTGAAATTAAATTTAAAAATCATTTGCTGACAGCAGAGGGAGATACGCAACATTAATGTGTCAAGTAAAAAACAGCAAAAAATAACTAACCAGAATAAAAATAACCTTGCAGTTGCATCCTCCAAACTTGTATGGTTAATTTGACAGTTTATTCACATTGATGCTCAACCACAATATTTAGAAGCGTGATTTTTTTGCCTTAATTTCTGAATAATATGGGTGAATGAGACACACGTTCCACAAGACGATTTGGTGGTCCATGAGAAATAGACAAAATGAGATTTTAACATCATTGATTAAAATATAAATTGTGCAATTCACTTCCTAAATGCGGCCTTACGTTTTTTTATTTATTTGATTTCATATTTTTGTGGCCATTCTTGTTCTTTTTGGAATAATGAGAGATTTAATTCACCAACATGTAACCATTTTTGATCCAATCCAAATGTAAACACCTGAGGAAGAAATCTAAAGATAATTTTTTCTCACGTGTACATCTTGTGTCTTTTGAGATCTTGCGGTGTCTAGTGCGGCCGAGATCTTGATATGAAGAAAAAAATTGCATACAAGGACAAAGTCAAGTTTTCCGACCACTTTCATCGCCCAGTCCATGTTCTAATAGTTGCTTATGCTGTTTCCAGAATGAGAACAGGTAGCGGGATCCAGAGCGACTGCAGGGAGGGGCCCGGCTGGAGCCAATGTCCAGGAATCCATTTGAGACATGGGTGTGAATTCACAGAACCGCTCCATACTCTGGACACGTTTGTAGGGTTTGGGTTACCTACCTCCATGCCCTCGCTACGGTCAAAACATAGACAGGTCCTGCTGATATTTGCTCCCAGTAACAGCTTTTGAAATATTTTTTGCCAATGCCGTGGTCTGGAAGGTACAAGCATCCAATGTAACAGACACAATTCAGACCACAATATACACACTGCTAAAATATAAATGCTAAAGTATATTCTGAATGTTTTTAAATGGGATCATTTTAAAAACCTGAATAGATAAATGTAATACAGTATGTCATGGCCTCAGAAATATTGTGCACATTTATTGTAGGTCAACTTCAGAAAACATTTTGTCTTCTTTTTAATCCATCAATTCCAACATCTCTCCAATTCTCATCGCAGAGATATTATACACATTTAGGCATGCAAATAGCAAATGTGATAATTTTTTATTCAATCGCAAAACTCGAAAATCAGTAGTTTTTTAGCGTTTGCAGACCAAAGTGATTCTTTTGTGGCCTCTCACATGTGACAGCTACCAGATAGCCCTCCTGTAGCATTAAAAGCAAATTATTTTAGAGTAGTGCTGTGATACTAAAACTCGATTTTGATTTTAAGAAATAGGCAAGTGGTATCAGTCAGTATTAAGTAGGGC